ACGGGGAGCCACCTTTACATCCTCTAATTTTTTATTAGCAATGGCTTGACGGAGCAAAGCCGCAAATCCCTCCGTGCAGATAACAAATAACAGAGGAGAGAGGGGGTCTCCTTGCCGTAATCCTCTAGGAGGAGAGAAAAACCCAGCAGGATTCCCATTCATTAAGATAGAAAACGACGTCGAACTGAGGCATTCTTGGATCCATCCTCGCCAAACAGAGTTGAACCCCATTTTATCCAAAACTGCTAGAAGAAAGGCCCGTTCGACTCTATTATAGGCCTTTTCCATGTCAACCTTTAGAGCCATGTAACCTTTCTTACCGCCAGTTTTGATTTTTAAATAGTGCATCAACTCATGCCCGAGAAGGACATTATCAATGATTTGCCGCTCCCGGATGAAGGCATTTTGTCCCTCCGAGATGACCTGAGGTAGAATACTAGCTAGCCTTCCTGCCATTATTTTAGTTATGATCTTATAGACAAACTGGCATAAGCTGATCGGGCGAAGTATCAGAGTGAGCCACGTATGATTAAAACTGCGGAGCATACGACTAGTCACAAAGAAAGAGCAGACGGCCTCAGTATCAGAGTTACCCACAATATCCCAAAAGGCTTTAAAGAACTTCCCCGTGAAGCCATCCGACCCGGGGGCCTGTTTAGACCCCATAGAGAAGACCGTGCTACGAACTTCCGCCGGGGGTCCGGATGGATTTGATCGTTTGGTTAAGTGAAATTTTTATCAACAATTTTGGTAATGTGGAGTGCTGATTGGACAAAAAACTAACATATTTTTGAATGGAGAAGGTTGGAATGACCATTTTAATATACGTCCAAACATAAATTATTATATAGTTACAAATTAAAAAATTGTGATTGTTTTGTGTTAAGTACAAAGATTTGTGATCCTTTACGCTAATTAACTAGTTTTGTAAACAAAATTTTTGTTCTAAGTCCCCCAATAATATATTGCACACTTTCATGTACTTTTTAGGGATTCAGATTTCCTGCTCTCCCCTTCATTTGCGGTGAGGATAATTTGGTAATTGCCCCAGGTTCTTTTCGCGGCCGACAACCCTTACGGGAGAGATTATGCGCAGCCCCCAATTTCAGTTTTCCCCACTTTCAACTCTACTCCTGCTTCGTTCCTAGGGCTGGAAGTTTGGTACCAGTATTTGGGATATACCGAATACCGTACTGAATTTGTCTATATTTGGTATTACCGAATACACGTATTATTTTTTGGGATTGGGATTGGGATTGAATTTTTCAATTGTTATTCGGTATTAGAGATTACGGGATTGGGATCGGTATATACCGGAATACCGATCAATACCGAAATATAAGCTAGTGTGTATTTTCTCCTCTCAAGTAGACTCTCTCATTCGGCCTAAGTTCAGGTCCTTAAGGCCTCTTTTTTAAAGAGGAACTTAAAGCCTTGTGATTGCTAACTCAAATTTAGGTAGATAGTAGGGAGTTATTAGTTAAATAGCTGTTAGGGGTATTAAGGAGACTACAATTAAATTAAAACAGGCTGTCTCTTTTTTTCAAAAACCCTAACCCGCCCACGTCTCTCTTTATTTTCGTCTACTCATTATTCCTCCCTCAAGCAGGCAGGCGAAACGTCAAGTCACAAGTTCCTCCGGTCGTCGTCCCTAGTTCTCCGTCCTGAGTCCTGAGTCCCTTCTCCGTCCCGAGTTCTCTGTCGTCCGTCGTCCCGAGTTCTCCGGCCGTTGTCCCTAGTTCTCCGTCTGTCGTCCCTTCTCCGTCCGGTTGTCGCCCGAGGTCTCCGTCTTGTAGTCCCTTCTCCGGCCGACGATTCAATTCCACCGACCCAAAGCACAGCAGCAGTTGTTGTCGTCGGTCTAGCTTCCCTCCCACTGAGATTTCCGGCAAGTGATTCTACTCCAACTTCTGTTCTACACCGTCGTCGTCGTGCCAGTCCACCATCACCGATTTCATTGACGTCGTCGTCGTCGAACCTTGTCCGTGATCTCGTTTCAACTCCCAGTCTACCTCGGCGGCGGCGTTTTTAAGGTGTTTTTTCGTCGCCAAATTTATTTTTTTGTATTTGTGGGGTTTTGGCGTTGCATGGGATTAGGGTTTTGGCATTGCATGGGAGGAGTAGTCGCTGCACAATAGTAGGTCGTTTTTAATTTATTTGGTGTCTATTATTAATCATTTCGTGGGCGTTCCCAATCTTTTTTGTGTCAATTATTAATCAATCTGAGCTCGTTCTCAACCTTTTGGCATCTATTATTAATCATTCCTTGGGCATTTACAAATTGCGTTGTGTATCCATTGTTAATCAATATGTGCTCGTTCTCAACTTTTTGTTCTCTATTATTAATCAATCTGTCATGCAAGTCAATTATTTGTGTCAATCAATATCTGCACGTCAATTTTTCCGTCTCCAAATTTTATTTCATATTTGTGAGGTTTTTCGTCGCGTCGATGCACAGTAGTATTTATTTTTAATTTTTTTGGTGTCCATTGTTTATCAATTTGTGTTCGTTCTCAACCTTTTTCCTATCTATTATTAATCATTCGGTGGGTGTTTACAAACTGTTTTTGTCAACATTGTTAATCAATATGTGCTCGTTCTCAACTTTTTGCTCTCTATTATTAATCAATATGTCGTGCTAGTAAATTATTTAATTGCATTGGTAATTTTTTTGTGATGTTCATTGCTCACGTGACAATTTGTTGAACACCGTAATCAATTCTTGTCGTGTTATGTTTTCTTGTCGTGAATGTAATTATCATTTTTTTTTGTAGTGCTACATGATGTACCACAATCCAAGATTTGTAAGAACAAGCTTGTTGTCAGCCCGCTACGTCCGTCGCTTGCCATCGAAAAGAAACGCGACTGAGTTGTCAATGTAACGGAGGAGCCTGTGGATTGAGCAGCTGGTGGATTGAGGTTTTCAAAGCAATGTAACGGATTTGTCAACATTTTCAACCGTGCATTTTAATGATTTGGCATACGTTGTTAACATTTTTTACTGACGCTACTAGAATTATCAATAAAAAACGCAATTTAGTGGTCGTATTGTCCACAGTATTAACCTCTGCGACTCTATTATTAATTATATTACTGAAATTATTAATCAGTAACTAAAATGCTGTGACAATAAGGGGAGCCTCTGATTTGAGATTTTTAGAGCAACGTAACTGAGTTGTCAACGTTGTCAACAATACATATTAGTTTTCTCACATACGTTATTATTAACTTTCTCAATCAAATTATTAATCATTAACATTTTTCCGTGATGCTACTATTAACTTTCTCAATCAAATCAAACACGCAATTTACCAACCGTGTTGTAAACATTATTAACCTACCATATCATTATTATTAATTAGATCATCAGAATTATCAACCAATTACTGAATGTTGTCACAATATGAGCTTCTGATTTGAGGTTTTTAAAGCAACTTAACCGATTTGTCAACGTTCTAACAATACATATTAATGTTTTCACCTACATTATTAACATTTTCTAGTGACACTATTATTAACATTCTCAATCAAATTGAAGCTTGATTTGCTTGTTGTGTTGTAAACATTTTTAGTGACGCTATTATCAACTTTTCTGCTCAGTATTATTAACAATATACAATATCATTATTAACCTTTCATACATAATTTACAACAAATGACGAATTCATGATTAAGAAATTTTCTTCGTTTTTCAACGTAAACAATAATATTATTAACAAACTCCGCCTCGACAGCGGGAGACCGGCAAGATGGGGCGACGACCAGATGGGGAGATTATTTTTAGTGACGCTATTATTAACTTTTCTGCTCAGTATTATTAACAATATACAATATCATTATTAACATTTCATACATATTTACAACAAATGACGAATTCATTATTAAGAAATTTTCTTCGTTTTTCAACGTAAACAATAATATTATTAACAAACTCTGCCTCGACAGCGGGAGACCGGCAAGATGGGGCGACGACTGGATGTGGAGATCATTTTTAGTGACGGTATTATCAACTTTTCTGCTTAGTATTATCAACAATATACAATATCATTATTAACATTTCATACATAATTTACAACAAATGACGAATTCATTATTAAGAAATTTTCTTCGTTTTTCAACGTAAACAATAATATTATTAACAAACTCCGCCTCAACAGTGGGAGATCGGCAAGATGGGGCGACGACCGGATGGGGAGATCATTTTTAGTGACACTATTATCAACTTTTCTGCTCAGTATTATTAACAATATACAGTATAATTATTAACATTTCATACATAATTTACAACAAATGACGAATTCATTATTAAGAAATTTTCTTCGTTTTTCAACGTAAACAATAATATTATTAACAAACTCTGCCTCGACAGCTGGAGACCGGAAAGATGGGGCGAGGACCGGATGGGGAGATGTCAGATGGCGGCGGGACGACGGCAGAGTCAGGCAGGATGACGGTGCGAATGGGATGGAGAAGGTGACGGGAAATCGACGGCATGATGGCGCAGTGACGACAGGATGGCGCTGTGACGACAGGAAGATGGCAAGATGGGCGACGACCGGCTGCGCAGTTGCTAACGGGGGAAAGGTGGTGAGACGGTGGACGAGTACGGTGGGCAGGCCGGCGAGAAGACCCAGCGGCTGCGCGGCACGATGGCGAGTTCTAAAGAAGAAACGGTTTTTAGAGTTGGGAGGAGAACGATTCTTCGGAAAAAAATTAAATCCGGATTTTCTTGAGTTTCCGCCACTTTCCTTCTATTTAATAATAATAAATAATAAGAATATTCCAGTCTTACCCTTGGACGCATTAGGTAGGTAGTTACTCAATGATTGTCAATCATATTCTCTCTCCTTCTCCTATTGGTTGGAGGGGGTTTAAGATTTTCCTTAAGAAAAAGGCCTTAAGGACCTGATCTGACCCGCTCTCATTCATTACCACACGACCCTCAACCACCAAGAGTGTCATTTAATTATACATAGATCATTTCATCACTATTAATAGTCGTCTCTCAACCTCCAATTCGTCAAATTAACGATAACCAACGACAAGAACTTGGGATGTCTCATCTCCCATATTCTCCTCAATAATATCATAATTCAAGACTCTTTGTTTAGTCTTTTTCCCCTAAATTAAACAATAAAATCTAATTTATATATTTAATTATTAATTCAAAAGTAATAAATTTTGTATTCGATAATACCGATTGGGATACCGAAGTACTGATTGGGATACCGAAATATTTAGAGATTGGGATTGGGATACCGAAATTATTTAAAGATTGGGATTGACTTTAGATGGTAATTCGATATTCGGAATTTTAGTATTTGATATTGGGATACCGATACCGATACCGTACCGATTTCCACCCCTATAATCGTTCCCATATTTCCCTAGGTCTTCCTTTATCCTTCCCGCAGCATCGGCGAAGTCGATCTGAAGAACGGCCCTACTCCTGCTTCGTTCTCATATTTCCCTAGGTGTTCCTTTCTCCTTCCCGCACACTGGCGAAATCAATCTGAAGACAGCTTTCATGTCCGGGTATCTTCCCATTCAATCAAGTCCTCTCTCCACAGAATGAAATCAAGTCCTCCCTTCCCTTTCTCCTTCTGCAGCACCGGCGAAGTCGATCTGAAGAAAGATTAAATCCTGCCGTCGTGGCAGTTTCATTGTCGTTACCAACCGGCCGCATGCAGTGGAGCAACAAGTGCCTATAAATATCAAGCGATACTCTCCTACAAGAAGCTGTTGGTACTTTCTCCACCTGGTGCGTAACCATTATTTCCATCTGTTGAATTGCAAGTGCTGTGATTGTTACCATTCTTATTCTCGTTTCTTTTTGTTTTTTGGTAGGACACTAGAATCGCTCGCTCCTACCTGTGAAGCTATTCACCAATGATGCAATGGAATTTGATTTCCGCATTTGCCGTAAATGGAAACCTCGGAACCCCAACCCAGATAGAATTCTACGACTGGATGTGATATATATGGCTAGACCAAACGGTAATTATCGTACTCTTTCATCCTTCCCTTTTCATTTCCGGTTGGAATTGAACTAGGATGCTATTTGGATCCAAATGCCAAAATCCTACATGGACAGATTTGACCAACTCGTGGAAGAACAAAATACATACACCGTTGCCAACGTTTCCGTCCACCACCATTGGACCGGCTGCTGATCATGTATCTCCCTTCCTTACCCAGTGATTATATTCCGATTTCTCAAACACGAACCCTTATCATTTTGCTAGGTACTGTTCCTAACCTATACACATTTTTTTATGGGTTGCTTTACATGATATGGGTTTTGTTCTGAATCCTTGCCTTTTTTGTTGTGATTTGGAAGGGAAATTCCTGTTGAAAGTTGTTTTATGGGGAAGATTGATCCTTGAATTAGAGCAAATAGTTGATGCTTCCACAAATCCGCAAAATATTCTGATCATACCATCTGTGATGGTATCCGAACTTAATGGTGTGCCAGACTCTTTACATGAATGAGGACTACATGAATGACCATCCTGAATCTGATTGCTGGCAAATCTTAACAATTTATGGTCAAAGTTGGTGCCTGGAACAACGTCATCAGTTATAGTGTGTGATTTGATTATGCTGAAATTATTCATCGCGTAGGGTTAGTGAGAGTGGTTTCAGATGAGATGGGCGCCATAATCCAGTAGTCTATGCTTTTATTTACCTTTTTATGGAACACACCTACTGCTTGTGTGTTGGATTTGGTTCGCAACATATATATATATATGCTATTTATTTGTGAGATGGAACTCCTAAATGCATGCATCTGAATCTGATCACATTTTACTCAAAGATTTGTCTTTTCCTAAAGGCCACGGCCGCTGTTAATGAAGCCACTGTTTGGATGCCTGTCTTATTTGTATTGGACTATGCCGGTCTAAGTCGGGTTTCAAAACGACCTCTTTGATTTGAACCTTCAAGAGGGAGAAGAAGAGAAGGAGAAGAGAAGATAAGAAGTGGAACGAAGGAAGAAAGATATTGGTGAGTTAGTAAGTTAGGTAGATTTATTTTGTGAAAAATAAATTTTTAATAGGTACATTTAAGATAAATTTCATTTCTGTCATTAAATCGTTAATTACTATCTTATTTGTATATATATTTAGAAAACGACTAAAATCGGTCAGACCCCAATCAAACCATTAAACATCAATCCCCTTTCTTGACCGGCTTATTGACTTAAACTGGTTTGACAACCTTCAACAATTATTATGTCACTCCTCCTCTCTTAGTTGAATAATCAGAGGAGTTAAACGGATGGAGATAAAATTTAGATGAGGCAATTTAATGTATGGTATGCTTCCACAAAGCACAAATGGGGGAAGTCGGGCTTTGGCTGGACAAATGGAGAGCTGAAAATTAGAGAAGAAGGACAATCTATATTTCAATTTATACGTTTTAAGCCGTCCCACTTTAAAAATCGTTGAATTTGATGTCCCATTTTGTCCGATTCTTTACACCACCAAGCTAAACACACTTGAAAAAAAAAATAACATCAATACAATATTTAATATTACTCCACCAAAATCAAAACCCTAACCAATTATCTGGCCAACGCTAATTCTCCACGTAAACATCTTATCTTTCCTCCACTCTTATCTTGATTAGTTACTCCGTACTCGTCTCCCACGGCCCCACACTCTTATCTTGGTTGTTGTGCCTTCGTTTCCATCGCCTCCCGCTCTCCCCTCCGATCGCCATTCTTTCTCCCCTTCGGTAGTACTTTCTGCTCTCTCTCTCAAAAGATGGCACCGCCTCCTGACAATCGCACAAACGATTCCACCACCAACGCCGTCGCCCCTCCTCCACCCGGCGCCGCCGATGACCAGCTGGAGTCAATTATGCGCTCCGCCCGGCCGTTCCTCCGCGGCGACCTCGAATCGGTGGACGAAAACCTGCCCCGACTCGTCGCCGTCCTGCGATCCGTCGGCGCAGGGGAGTGCTGGCACAAGCACGGCAGCTTCCTCGACCACCTCCTCGACATCTACCGCATCCTCAAGCTCTGGGGAGCTCCGGAAGCCGTCTGCCTCTGCGGCCTCTTCCACTCCGCCTACTCCAACTCCTACGTCAACCTCGCCATCTTCGACCCTTCCACCGGCCGCGACGTCGTCAGGGCGCACGTCGGCGACGCAGCGGAGGACCTGATCCACCTCTTCTGCGTCGTCCCCCGGCAGTCCCTGATCCACGACGACCTCCTCTTCAGGTACCCCGACGACGCGGAGCTCCGCCGCCATCTCTCCGATTCCGAGGCTTCCGTGAGGAAGGCCAAGGGGGAATTCGACGCAGGGGAGGCGTGGAGGGTGAAATTGAACTCGATTTTGCCCAGGGAAGGGGTGAAGGTGAGGCACATCAAGACGGGGGAGGAGATTTTGGTGTCGAGGAGAGTTGTGGCGGTGTTTTTGCTGATGACGATGGCCGATTTCAGCGATCAGTTGTTTGGATTTCAGGATGCTCTGTTCGACAACTCCGACGGGAGGCTGGAGTTCGCCGGCAACAATTTCGGAGCTCTGTGGCCGGGCGACGGGAAGCCGGGGCTGTGGATCAATTCGATCTCGAGGATGGGCGCTGTTTACTCGCTGATTGCGAGGGAAGAGGAGATTGTTGAGAGGGAATTGGGAATTAGGGTTGATGCGGCGGAGATGGAGATGGAGCTGGTGGTGCCGCCGGTGTTAAAGAGATGTACAGAGATTGTGGACGCCAAGGAGCAGATGGAGGCGAGGGAGCTGTACTGGGAGGCGGTCGCCGGGAAAGGATCGACATCGGAGTTGGAGTTGGAGGCGGCGGAGGAGCTGCTGGTGAAGAGCGTGGAGAAGAATGCGGTGGTGGGGGAGCCGCGCGTGGTGCTGGCGCAGGTTTATCTGAGTAAAGGAAGGTTCGAGGAGGCGGAGAGGGAGGCGGCGGTTGGGTTGAGGCTGATTTTGGAGTGGGGGAGCGCGTGGGATAAACGGATGTCCTGGGAAGGTTGGGTATCTTGGGCCAGAGTTCTGCTCATGAAAGCCGAAGAGAAGTCCTGGCCCAATACTTCTTGGGGCATACTTAATTTGGGCCTCGTCAGGTAAAATATGAAATTAGTGCGGTCCAGTCCAGGGAGTAACGAAACGATCCCGTGCTGGCGGCTGTGGCTTGGTAAAGTCGTAACGTCCGGAAATGTGATAAATTAAGTATGCAATAATCCAAGAATGAAAATAATAATGATTATGACATTTGTACCATATAAATTGGCATTTGTTAGCTATGACCAATTTGTTGTGGCATGTTCACGGTTTGGGAAACAACTTGGACAGTTTGTTAATCGTGTCGGCGGCGAAGGACATTGATCACAGTGTGGATTGTCGATCGTTAATAGTCTTGTGTGTTACTGTGAATAGTTTTTGCTGTCGTTGGTCGGGAGAACAGTGTAATTGCGATCGAACTTGATGGATATAAAGTGTTTCGATGCAAGTATTTGCATAACAGGGACAAAGTCATCGAATTGGATATGTACTAGTGACGGGAGGAGCCTCTGGTTTGTGGTGCTAGGCATGAACATGTCGGATTGTAGGATCAAACTCGGGACTATACTAGTTGCTAGCTTGGAGAAGCTTTTGGTGCCTAAGCCTAAAAGGAATGTACACAAAACGTCTTCCGTTTCTTTTCACTCTCGTCAGAAACACACAGTTATGGTAGACATTGTGTTCACTTTTCAATAAGGAAACCGACCTATGACTCAAGAAGTTACAATTCTATCTTTGCTCTAGATCAAGCGAATAATCAAAAGGCAACCTAATACCAAGATCACCAGCTAACAATCTTCATAGTTAGTAAGTAGCAACCACCCAAAGTTCATCTAATGCGATGGGTTGGAAAGGAAAGAACCCTTAAGTTCTATCCATCGTTATCTTCAATGCCTTGCACTAAGTCCTTTCCAATTCCGCTTCGTGACTCGTGAAGAATTCACACAATTATTATGTTTGTTCAAGTGAATCGTTTTGGAATAATGTTGAATTGAGTGTTTGAGATTGTGGATTTCATCGCCAGAAAAGGAAAAACGACATATTTAGCTAGTATATTATCAAGTGACAGGAAATTTTTTTATCAGTTTACTCTCTCCGATACACCTAATTAAGAGTTGCCTAACCCAGTGGCATTCAACTTGGATTGCTTATATACTATAAGGGCAACCCAAATTCGTACCAGTGGCACTCACTTCGAGAAGGCTCCATCAACGCATCCTACTCGCTACGTCTAACATGAAAACTAAGAAACATGTTTTTTTTTCCGCGACTGGGGCCAAATAATAAGCCATCATATAACTTCAAGACGTACGACCACTTTATTGCTCTATAAATTCGACCACAACTTCATCTTGATAATCTCGATAAGCTCTTTTTCCCTCTAAACATTTGGTCTAATTCTTCCTCCCTTGAGGAGAACTGGCCACATATCTCTCCAGTCTCCTCAGTAGACTTCAACTCATGACTGGCTTTCTTTCTTAAAAAAACATCTTAAACATTTGAGTCGACCAACAACGTTGCGATGGTAAATCACATTTCAATGAATGATTTGCGCATTCACGAGAGAGTTCTTAATTGAGATCGATCTCTGAAATTTTTATGTAAATATTTATTTTTTAAAACCGGTGATCGATGAAACTATAATAGTTTAACACTTTATGAGTTCCATAAAATTTACAGTTCTATCTACATATTAAGGGTAGATGAATGTTTTTTTTATAGTAGATAAGTATCAAGGGGTAATTACATTTGGTAACTATGATTATTTATAGTCACGCCATCATATCTTCCAATAAGCTATTATTGTTTTCTTTATGATATTTTCTGTGGTTAAAAATAATAGTTCTACCAACGGAAAATATAAATACAAAAGAACAGCAAATATTGGTTTCTCCTTGTCAACTTCACGAGTTTGCTTTGCCCAAAATTTGAAGAAGAATCAGCGTGTCATTGTTCTTCCTGTTTGGGTGCTGGGTTTAACCTAGAAAGTTGGAAGAGGAGGTGGGGCAGGAAAGATTCATCTATATTCTGCGGATTGATTGCGAGCAAGGAACTGGTTGAGCGAGCGGCCAAGAAGATGGATTTGGATCAGTGGATTTCGAAGGTGAAGGAAGGGCAGCATCTTCTGGAAGACGAGCTCCAACTTCTCTGCGAATATGTAATCCATGGCTTTACCATTTCTTATGCTTCCTCCTCTGGTTACCATCATTTCGCTATGCATCTTCTTCAATTATTAGCAGAGTAACTTTACCCTTGATTTGTCTGGTTGGGTAAGAACTAGGGTTTTTCCCCTTTTGGTTTTTTCTTCTTTCGATTCACATTGTCTCACAACTTCCAGTCCCCATCTTGAGGACTCTGCTCTAGAACGCCCAGTCTATTTCTCTCTCAACTCAATTGGTCCTTGGAAAAGGAACCCTAAGCCTAATCTTGCATCGCGCTGTGTTTCCATTACTGAAACCCATTTCTAATTCGCTTTTTTTTATTATTCCCTTTTTCTTCCTAATGGTCTGATTCGCTCCAGTACTGCTTCGGAATGTCGATTTGTCCTTATTACGAACTTGCTTGTTGAGTCATATCCAGTTCACCCGTCTAACCAAGCCTGGAGCTACTATCCTTTGCTTGCTTTCCGGTGAATTTGTCTAGTGAATCGGAATGAGTTTTGACACCTCAAGCTAATTATCATTGTTATTCAGCTCTACGATTTAGACACTTAAGTGGTTTAGCAAGCTTGTTTCACTTGCTATCCCAGATTTGTATTCGCTCCTGGTTTAGGACAATTACCCATCTTTTGATTATTTATTTATCCCAGTCGTTTGAAGTATCAAGTTTCGACCCAGAATGCACTCTTTTGCTGCGCTTAACATGTACACCTTTCGCAATATGAAATTCTCTCCCATCTTAGAGCTAGAAGGTGGTTGATTAACATTTATTCACTTTTGGTTCTGAACTACACAGGTAAAAGAAATTCTGATTGAGGAATCCAATGTCCAGCCCGTTAACAGCCCTGTGACTGTCTGTGGGGATATTCATGGCCAGTTTCATGATCTAATGAAACTTTTCCAGACTGGGGGTCATGTTCCAGAGACAAATTATATATTCATGGTAATACCACCCCCCACCCCTCCCCCAACCCCGGAGAATCAGTTGTGTATTATGTGATGTCATCTTCTTGGAGTTGAACACTGGCGAATCTTTTGGCAGGGTGACTTTGTGGACAGAGGTTATAATAGTCTTGAAGTTTTCACTATTCTTTTGCTTCTTAAAGCAAGGTATGCTCTTCTGGTCGCCCTATGGTGATGTTTTCTTGACCCTGTTTGTTATCCTTTCCACGTTTGTTATTCATTGTTATTATGAGAGGAAAGAGGGCAAAGTGAGTAGACAGCCATCTTTTAGCTAGGTCCCTTCCAGATGTTCTTGACTTGGCAAAGTATAATATGCCCACTCTTCGTTTTCGTAGTCGGGAAAGAAAAGAAGTTACAGAAGCCAATGGGAATGTTGACTCTTTGTTATCTGGTATCAAGCTGGTTTTAGGTTGGAAAGACCAGGTTGTTTGAACACTCGAGGTTTATCTTGGAGGAATTTTCTGGAGGACAAGCAAGTTCATTAATTACAAATGTTGTACTTACTCTTTCCTTGATGGTGTTTGATGAGTTAAAATCTCAATGGGTTTAAACAGTCATGCAATTTTTTAAGTTTAGATTTATATGTTACAAAGATTGGTTTGGATGCTTCTCCCATTGGAGCTCAAAGTATTGCTCTGTTCTCCTTTTTACTGAATGGAGGAGGACGTAACATATCAGATTCCTCTATATGCTACTGGCTGCACCTGTTCAGTTATAGTTTCTTTTCTTGTTTAGTGTTAAATGTTTACTAACCTGCCATCTCAAATTTTATGATTCTTCAAATGTTGTTTGCTTGATTGTCTGGAGGACTATATCCTTTTGCAATCTGTACAAAGTTTTTCGGTGCGAGTTTGACATGAAGTAACATAACGGACCATCATGGCTCGTCTTTTTATCACTCTTGCTTCTGTTCTTAGGTAAGCTGCTTGTATGAATCAGTTCTATAATTCTCCATCTGTATATAGGTACCCAGCTAATATTACACTTTTGCGTGGAAACCACGAGAGCAGGCAACTAACGCAGGTAAGGTCTTCAATTCATATATGTTGCTTTTGTTGAGTTTTTTGCCATTCAGGTTATGCATAAACAACAGATATGTATAGAAATAGGGCCTAGTTCGAGCTGCCCAACAAGTGATGGAATGGGACACCTTTCAAATTCAACTTCTTTTGCTCTTTCAGAGTGGCCTTTGTAAATAATACTGTTTATTCTTTCCCATAATCTGGCAAGTTCACAATGATTCGATCTTGAAATTTTTTGTTCTTGGGTGCGATTATTAGACCAATCCTTCTTTTTTGGATGAATCTTTGATCTCTTCATTTATTTGTTTGTTTGTTTTCTCTAGGTTTATGGGTTCTACGATGAGTGCCAAAGGAAGTATGGGAATGCCAATGCATGGCGCTATTGTACAGATGTTTTTGATTATCTTACACTATCCGCTATTATTGATGGCACTGTGAGACTCATCCCCTTGTCTATTTTCTTCTTAATAATTTTACAATTGGACATGTGATACTTTCCTGCAGTTGATGTCCTCTTAATCCTGAAATTGGAATATGTATGCCTCCTGGTTTCATCATGCAGGTGCTCTGTGTCCATGGTGGCCTTTCTCCTGATGTCCGTACAGTTGATCAGGTAGAGCTCTTGCTTCTTTAGTGTAAAAGACACAAATTTGTAATCTCTGAACATCCAGATATATATATATATATATATATATATATATATATATATATATATATATATATTTGGATTTAGAACTCGTGTTCTTTTATTTTTTAACGTAGGGGTATTCCTTGGCATGGTGTTGCTTGGTTGTATACACCCTATATTTGATTATCGGCAGAGTGCATGATAATCTCCAAAACTATTTTAGATTTAGACATACTAAGTAAGATCTTCTGTGCATTGCTTATCATATCTTTGGGGTCTGGCATTGTGTAGTTTATTACTAGAAGAGGATAGGGGTCCTTGACATTCAAGTGCAAGATGCATGCCTAGAGAACCCTAGCCAGAACTCACATTTGATGAATTGACTATGTATCAGTGCTTTCCTTATCTTACTTTATCTCAAGCAAATATCAACTGTAAAAAAGGAAGATATATGAATGAAAAACCTTTGCCCTAGTAGTTGGCAGTTTAATACTAGGATGTGTTTTTACCTTAAGGTTTCTACTTTATGTTTGGGATGTTATATAAATGAATCGGACGTACAAAAAAGGAATGAACTAGCCAAAGAGACATAGTAGCTGAGATTTTATAACAATGTGTGCCTAAGATAAAGTGATCACCTTTCTGATTGTGCCTTACCTCCTCATGGCATAGGCGATGAAGCTAGCATCTCATGCATGCCTTTAAAAACTGTTCTCTTAATGAACCTGAAATATGGACGCATGTTGAACCTTCAAGTTCTAAGATCTGCCTTGTGCAGCTTTAACTAATGGAAATGCCCAGCCCACTGTTTCATTTTGCTTGCAGTTACCTGGTGGGGGCTTGTGGTTTACTGATCTTGTTCTTCTCCTGTTGCCTAACAGATAAGAGTAATTGAACGGAATTGTGAAATTCCACATGAAGGGCCATTCTGTGATCTTATGTGGAGTGATCCTGAAGACATTGAAACATGGGCGGTTAGCCCCAGAGGAGCAGGTTGGCTTTTCGGGTCAAGGGTTACATCTGAGGTACTGGGTAATCTGATCTTAATATAACATAGTGATTTGTACTACCAAATCTAACAGTGCCTGTCTCTTCTCTTTGCAGTTTAACCACATTAACAGTCTTGACCTCGTTTGTCGGGCACACCAGCTTGTACAAGAAGGCCTCAAATACATGTTTCAGGATAAAGGCTTAGTAACTGTAAGTATTTGAAATCTTATCATCCTCATTGTTTATCTTAGGTGTATAGAGCCATGATATCACATTCCTCTCACTATTTTGCAGGTGTGGTCTGCGCCAAACTATTGTTACCGATGCGGGAATGTGGCTTCCATCTTGAGCTTCAATGATAATATGGTGAGTGAACTTTTGAATCCTGCTTCTGGTTGTTTTATTCTTTGGATCTAACTAGAAACCTTTACTCGGTCCTAGAACTAGCCAAGGTATTTTATTTGTTTCTGGGTCTTTGTAGGAGAGAGAAGTGAAGTTTTTCACTGAAACGGAGGAGAATAATCAGATGAGAGGGCCAAGGACAGGAGTTCCATACTTCTTATGATCGGTCCAGGACCAATTGCTGCATGCATACTTGTAAAATTTCATGGAGTATTATAATGTCGACCGTGAGAACTGAGAAGAGGAACATCATGTGGAAAAGCGTAGCGCCAAAGCTCAGTCTGTCGGTCGGTTACATGTTTAGCAGTACAGGTATCACCTTTTATTTGCTTGGGAGTGGAAATTTGTCATCCACTTCTAGCCTACTGATTATGAGAGGTACATTTAGGGCTTTAAAAGGGTCTGCAGTTGAAGAATTAGATGTCAATCATTTATCAGTTGGTTATTCCCAGATATGTACCTCATTTGTGTCTCCTCCCTTGTTGCTGAATGTTTGTTCCTTTTTGTATCAGTTTGTTTCAATCAATTGTCAGTTCATTCCGGACTTTCTTCACTGTTGTTGACGTGACTATTTGGGCCATGTTTAGCTGAGGAGATTTTAGGGTAGTATCTAAGGGAACTTACCTAGCAATTTCAGAGGGGCGGATAGAATAACACCACCTTAATACTATGTTTGGCAACAAGGGGGTGCAAGTTCGAGGGGTACAAGTTGAGGGGTAAATTGTTGGGGGTGCAACTTAGTGGAGGGGTAAATTGTTGTTTGGATGAAAAAGTAGGGGGTGCAAATAGAGTAAAAAGTAAATAATTATATTATTATAAAATAGATTTATCAATTTATAAAATATTATCACAAAATAATAACATGAAAATTCAATATATAATAATAAAAATAATAAATAAAATTAATTATTATATAATAATTCTCAAATATAATTATTTATAACAACAATAATAATCATTGGTCGAGCAACCTCGAAACTCGAAATCCAACTCGTAACTGGTCATCCTAAGGGGGTTCTTGTGCCTAACTTTAAATTGAATATGATCAAACTTAGTCAAACACGTTCGAATCTGTAAGTTTTAACTACTTATTAAAGTAAATCGAGTTAACAAAACTGTTCCTCTCTATCTTTTCAACAAATGCTTCTTATCTCTAATTTTCAATGCAAATTCGGGTCAACTAAGAGATATCGATTTGACGAGGCGAACATTGACAAACTTGCTCTCTGAGTCAAACGGTCAACCCCAAACAACTTCTACACTAATATAGATATAAGAAAAAATTCATAATATTAATTATTATGTAATTATAATCTAATTAAAAATTCATAATTTTCCTCCTCCCCCTTCCCCCTCTCTTCCTTCCTTCGCACCCCAATTTGGGGTTAAGCCGAAACAGTGAATTTACGCTCACGTTTTGCACCCCCTACTGTTACAAAATAACCAAACGGGGGTAAACACCTTGGAACTTGTGTTTACCCCTCCAAACTTGCACCCCCTCCATTTACACCTCTTCCCAAACATAGTGTAAGTGTTGTTATAGTAATCACAGGGGTAAAAGGGGAATTAACAAAATAAAATTAAAAAACTAATTTTCTAATCCCATCTGCAAATCTCAATCCCCTCCCGTCCCTATGGATCTCCTCTCATCCCACGATATTCTTCTTTCTTCCGACGTCGGGTCGCCAATCCTCCTGTTTTTATTTTTTTTTCCTTCCGACGCCGGCGCCGACGCCGATTCAGACGAGTGACAGCCACTCCTTCACATTCCCGCAGGTGCCGATAACCTCTGTCGTTGTAGATCTGGTGATGGCCGCGCCTCGCAGGTCAGCGACTACAAATCTCCATAGTAACCGCAGCGATGGTGCCGCAAAATCGGGTTCCTGCTTGATCTCGTCTCTCCGCCGTTTACATCATCCTCCGTCGGATCTCTTCGCCAGATTTCGTCTCTCCGCCGTTCACATCATCCTCCGTCGAAGCTCTTCGACAAAACTCATCTCTCCGCCTCGTTCTTCTTCATCGACGGCAGATCGTGGCTGAGAGCGGTCTCCCTTCATCCTCGAACAAGCTCTCTCTTCTTCCACCAGAATGAGAATCAGCAACACTGTCGTTTGATTATGGTCTCGTTTGCACTTTGCACCACACTTCGAGTTCAACTGGTTTATAGTTTCATCTTGCTGCTAATTAATTACCATCCGAGTTGGTTGTTAAGTGTGCAATCCAGCACAATTAGAGCAGTCAGACACAATCACACTACTAGTCATAAATTTCCATATCACCATAATTAATTACTCACCAACCATCATGAAAGAAGAACCCACCAAGGAATATTCCACAAACCCACCAAGGAATATTCCACAAAGCTCTCTCTTTTTAATGTATTTTAGTGTATTATAGTGTTTATCGTATGCATTTAGGAGTTATCGGTATGCAGATCACTAGTCTTTAATAAACACACCAGAAATTTCCTAAAGCAGACCACAAACGTGATTAAAAAAACCACAAAATAGCAAATCAGAAACCTTCTAATGCATACCACAAAATCTCTAAAACAAACCACAAGCCTTGCAAATCAAACCACAACATTTGCGAAAACACACAAAAAACCTCCTAATGCAAACTACAAACACGTTAAAGCAAACAAAAAAAAACAAACCAGAAATGTCCTAATGCAGACCAAAAATCTACTAAAACAAACCAGAAACCCCGCAAATCAAACCACAGAATTTTAAAAAACACACCAGAAACCTCATAATGCAAACCACAAACACGATAAAGCAAACCACAAAAACAAACCAGAAACGTCCTAATGCAGACCAAAAATCTATTAAAACAAACCAGAAATCACGCAAAGCAAACCACAAAATTTTTGAAAGCAAACCAGAAACTTCCCAATGCAAACCACAAACATGATAAAGCAAACGAGAAACTTCTTAATGCAAACCACAAACACGATAAAACAAACAATAAAAGGCATACAAAAATATGAGAAACCAAACCATAAATCTCACAATGCAGACCATAACATCTGGTGGTCGTTGACCGTTGACCGGTCAACAAAAATCGTTGACCATACTCCGATGACCGTCAGTGACCGGATTCCGGCGCCTATAGGCATATTCCGACGCCGGTAAGCATATTTCGACGCCGGTAAGCATATTTCGGCGACAGTGGCATATTCCGATGAGAAAATAGCATATTCCGGTGATCGGAGACCAGATTCCGGCGGCCGGTGGCCGAATTCCGGCGATCAAAATTTTGGGCAGAAAATAAAAAAATATTTTTTATTTTTTTATTTTTTCATAATGACATTTATGCCCCTGCTTTGATTTTACACTAGGTCAACTCAACTAATAAAAAGTCATCACAATCCTAGCTCCCTATTGGTTGGAGACTAGTGTTGTTACAATAACAACAAAAAGAGTGTTGTTATAGTATCTAGTCCCAATTTCAGATTATATTTTTTCTTGTCAGACCGTCGGTGCGGTTTCGCATGGGGGACATTGCCAAACCATCGTACACATATTTTTTCGTGGATGATTCGTGACTCGCTTTGTCACAAGTAGTTGGGTTGTGATGCTCTAATGGTGTGAATATGAATCTCTCCCGCCGAAAATGGGCTTGGTGTTGGTTGGTCGTTTGTGTGCAGAACATGGTTGTCACATAAGTGAAATGTCGACCTGCTGGATCTGGTATAACGTGATGTCAATCCAACCCGTAACTATGGGTATCCTACTCGACCGTAACCGGTCAATGAGGGTAATTAACCGCTTTGACGGGTTAAGGGGCGGGTACGGGTAATACCCGGATTCAAAATAAAGGGTAGGATACACGTATGGTAATCGATAATACCCGCCCCGCTAACCAAAAGGTCAATTTCCCTTGAGAAATTTATTTTAGCTTGAGAAATTGAGTTTAGCTACCATTATTGATGATGAAGATGTAGACAATTATTATGTTTGTGTGGATTGTAGAAGCAAGAACAATTATTATGTGTTTGTTGTTTTTATTTGTGTGGATTGTTGAAGTTAGAACAGTTACAAGTATTGAGAATTTTTAATGGGCAACAGTATGTATGTGCATATTTGTGTATAAGTTCATAGTTTAGGATTCATACCCATGGTTACCCGAATACCCGGGGTTACCCGATAGGTAGGGTATGGTGATATAATTTTCATACCCGGTGGTTATTTGGTCGGGTGTTTTAGAAAGCTCTACCCGGCGGGTTAGTTACGACCCTACCCATTGCCATCCCTAAACGTGTGTTAGTTACGAATCAGTTAGAATACCGATCAATTTTTGTTTGGCAGTAATGTGGGTCAATCAAAGGAGAGAGTGGGGACGGGCTAGAACATGGTTGTCACGTATTAAGAATATGATATTCATTAAGGGCATTGAAAACTTTTTACATTATTAAAAACTAGGTCGGCGAAGAGGAAAGTGTTTGAGTCTAACTGAGAGTAGGAGGGAGACTCAGGAAAAAGAGGGGCGAGAAGAGTAAGCAATAGGATGATCAGGATAGAGAGAATTCTTTAGAGAGAGAAAGTTCCTTAGTATAGAGTGAGAGAGTGAAAAATGCGATCTCCTCACCCACCAGAGTAATTGCCTTATTTATAGGCTACATGGTGGTGGGTAAGTATTTAATGCGACATGACTACTAACTTGTCAGGCGTTTAGACCATACCTCTATCTGAAGCTAGACACTTTTCCCCACGATTATACCTAGTACTAGGATGTGACCACTCTTCAGGGGATACAGTGTCGTTTCCTGACTTCTTAATCCAGCCTGAGTTTTGAGTGAAACGGTGTTGTTTGGAACATTGGTTACTGCGGCCTGCTCCGCCCTCGCGGATGGAGTTCCGCGAAGGCGGTCTTCTTCGCGGACGTGGTCTCTCCGCGCGTTGCTGCAAAAGTCGGGCGTGGCGGTGCTAGCGCGCTCGGCTCCTCTGGGATAGTTCAAGGGCTGCCTCCTTGGCGCGACTAGACCCGAGCCATACCCCCAACAATTGCCCCCCATCAGGTGGCATTCTGCGAGTGCCGCCTGTTTAATCTTCGCGCAATGGGCTCGGGTCTGTGTGGATCCCCCTGGTGTGTGACTCATGTGACAGATTGATTTTTTATGTGTTTTTTTCCTTTCCGCGGGTACCCCATGCCCCCAGGCGGTGCGCGACATTGGTGACGTCACCGCCTAGTGCCTATGCTTGTAGGTGTCGACGTGTCACCACGTGGTTCTTTCGTTTGGGCAGTGGTTTTTGAAATTCAAAATAACTGACGGTTGCGATTCCCCATGTAGCTTTAACCGTTTAGTTTCTTTTCGACTGCTATAAATACTCCTTTTTCATTGGGATGGAGTCATTCTCCTCTTATTCTCCTCTTTCGAACCTCTGCTTCTTCCTTCTGTGTTTTTGTCGTCGAGATTCCTCTCCTTCTCTTACAACCTTATTTCTCCCTTTGTTGTTGCTATTACTCGAAGAGTACCATGGCCAACAACGGTGTCAACGAGATTGAGGTCGTGCAAGACGAAGAAGGTAATCTTTCCCCTCTTTCACATATTTCTACCGATCCTTCGCTGGATTTGGCTGATTCCGGCAACGGAAACGGCGGCGGAGCTGATGATGAGGGAATTTTGGCGACGCCGTCATACGACGTCGAGTCTGGGTGGGATCTCCTACACAGCTCCTCCGATGTAGGTATGCTAGGGCATACAAGTGGAAAATCGAGCATGCGCGACCGCGGGGTGTTGATAATCTGTCACGATCCTGCTAGTGGGTCTGGGAATGCTAATATGGACCCGCGAGAGGACTCAGATACCCTGTCGGAGCTGATCTGCGTTTCACGGGTGTTTGAGGCCATGAGCAGGCTCGGCGTTCGTGGTGTGGGCGCGGCTTACACTATCCTCGATTGGGCGGAGATGTTTGGGACAGATCCGATGCCGCATGATAACCTTTTGCGCGGGCCGGATCACGTGTCTATCTACGGGCGGAGGGAGGTGACAAAGCTCGTGCGTGGGCTGGGCTTGCCCCCCCCCCCCCCCCCCCCCCCCCTCTTCCAACTGGCAGTATGCAGTCTCGTCCGCACGGAGCCGAATTGGGAATTGCCCCCTGGGTGGTTTGGGGTATATTTCGAATATTGGATAATGGATTTCAAGTTCCCCATTGATCCATTGTTGTGCGTGCTGTATAGGCGCCTCAATTGCTATGTTGCGCGTTTATCTCCGTCTGTTATTATGCATGCGTCATGCCTCCGTCTCGTGTGCAAGAGGCTGAACCTTACAACCATCATATGGGCTGTTCCGCAAGACATATCAAGAATACAATATAGGCAAATTAAAACCCTATTATCATTTGGGGTTGACTCTCATAAAACATCCTACAATACAGAGAAATTATACGAAGATAAAACAACTTAGAGCTCGTTTGGTATTTACGATTGTGAATATTGATGTATTGTACGAATGCATTATAAATTGATGTATTGGTTAAATGCTTGCATTTTAAGATTACAATGTTTGGTAGTTGTGATTGTATTTTTAGGAATGTAGTAGGAAAACCACTTTTTGAATGAAAAGTCACATTTATCCTTCCTTTTAGATATAAAAGTCAATCACATATAAAAGTTGATGAGGGCATAAAAGTGAAGAAAAGTTGATTCATAATCTCAACAATCTCACCAAATAGTTGAGATTCTAAATCATTCATTTTGAATGATTTCAAGTGTCACATCAACAATCAAATACATGCATTGTGTTTTATTTTGCAACAAAAAAACGATGCATTCTCTACAATACATGCATTCATTAAATACGCATCTACCAAATGACCCCTTAAACTCCATCCAACGATTGGCAAGCCAATGTCGTTAGGGCTACCACCACAATATACCAGTTGAAATAGACTATAGTCATTATCGTTTCAGCCCCACTATCAAGTGCTCATTTTGCTATCGCAGTTGCGATAGCATTACATTAAGATGCTTCGACAACATCACAACCAACGAGAGCAACCAATATAAGTGCATGCGCGTGCCACCTGCAATTGAAGCTGGCAAATTTTTGGTCAAAACAGTTGTGGTGGGGGGAGGGGGAGAAAATGCAATATACTCAACAGGTAGACATCATAACAAACAATCAATCAGACAGGACTGGATGTTCAGTAGTTACAAACGAAAGCAGCTACAAACGAAAGCAACAACAACAAATTGGATTGAGCAATGCAATGCATCCATGGTGGACATAACCACTCAGTGTAACATTGGCCAACCATCATGGATACAGTTTCATCACCTACACAACAAATCATAACATTCTACTCAACAATTCAGCAACATTACTTATCCACATAGGAGGAGTAAATGTTGAATTTCATTATATGCATTCCAGAGAGCTGAAGCAGCCGCACCATCCTTCATTCAAGACAACATATGCTATTCAAAGCTACCCATGGTGTTTCAGACTCCATGTGCTGCAAACAGCTGCGACCATATGTTTATGTTATCCATTGCTCTCTCCTATGTATAACTACAATAGCAACTCTTATGTAAAACTCAAACTTTCCAATAAACAAACAGATTAGCAAATTCATCAGTAAATGAGCTAAAACACCTCAGTAACAAACCCCAACGGTTATTCACAAGCAATCAAAATGCTGAAACTCATTCATACATTCTCAAACATTCCACACCACCTGCAAAAAGTCCAAAAAATTTACAATCTTTGTCAGGGCACTACATTCTCAAACATTACAAAGCTAGTCGATATATATTCACAAGAAGCTGGTGCAACCCCTACAGATTTCTAAGAAGCTCAAGCTAGTCTCAACCATAAAATTCCATTACCTCTAGGGGGGTCTGCTCTGCTCTGCCGTTCAGGAGAATAACTGAACAACAGCCAGCACACAACGACTCCAAAATGTCTGGAATCGGCAATAAACAACCACAAAAATCTAAGGACGAAATTAATAGAGGACGAAGGCTTACCAGCCTGAGCGGTGGCCATCTATTTTGACAATCTGTCCCCTTCTCGCATACTGGTCTTTCATCTGACAAAATCGACAACAGCGGGGGACATTAATTCTGATTCAGTCGAAAGGGTAATTGAATCACTAAAGAACGAAAGAAATAGAGAATACTTATGCTGGAGATTAAATGCCTAATCGGAGAGGACTTTTTCATCATAGGAGGCCGAGAAGAGAAACGGGGAGAAGAAGATAATGCTTTGATTTGGAATTGAGAGGACCGGAAAAGGTAACCAATCGAAGCGTCAAATTTTTACTCGCGGCCTCCGTCACTCCTCAGAGTCGCTGGTTTTAGAGAGAGAGTATGAGCCTTCGTCTTATTACAGACAGAATGAAATGAGAGGGGGAATCATTGGATGAAAGAGGAGAATTAGGGTTGCAAACAAACTTTCAGTTCCAAATTTCGAATTCAAAATTAGGTTAAATTTCAGCTCAAATTTTCCTGTTACAATTGCGCCAGGACAGGTCGCGGCTCGATTTCTGCTTCGGAGGAGGACAGACGACTGCAAGAGCCAACTGCCCGCGGATAGCGAATCCCACCGACTGGTCCCCACATTCCACTAGCAAACCCAAGAATCCATCTCACCCGTTGCTGGAGCGTGGCCTTCATCCTGGCCGTTGGGAGGACCTTAGCCGATCCGGGGACGAGCGGAACATGGTGCCGCCTTGACTGAACAAATGGGCGCGCAACTGTGGGATGACAGCCCACAACAAGGTGACGGTCCTCTGCAACCTTATAGACAATTGAGTATCTTGGCGTCTTTTCCTTTTTCTACATGTAGTGTCCTTCCTATTCTTTTGCTGCTTCATCCCTGAAAATCAACAACGGCAAAGGTTGCTACATACAAATTCAAATTGGTCCATAACTCTCCCATCCAAAATCTGGCTAAAAATTGACATTATTTTCCATCTATAACGAACGATTTTGAAATGAAGTTGTGATCTCCTGGCATTGGTTCCTCGATGAGTTGCATGCATCATAGCGTAACGTTGTTCTATGTTGCTTGTCCGTCAATTGAACATGATTTATGTAGTGCGGTTATGTTACCATTTTTTGTTTGTTTAGGAGGTAAAGACGGGTATACTTGATGGAGGCACGACCATTAGTTAAGGGTAGTTTAGTACTTTATTAGGTTTGAGTCGATTAGGGTTTCAGGTTAGCGTCTATATGTTATCGTTTATCTATTTTGTCAAATTCAATTAATAAACAAATTATCAAAGTGTCGTCAGATTATCCCAATTTTCCTCTACAGTCCCTAATTCTATTAGTTCTTCTCCAAATCTTAATTATCCTTTTTATCAAATACAAACTCAATCCCCAATACCTATCATCCATTCATCAACACTCGAGGAGTATAGTATACTTCGAGTGATCTTACCAGTAAATGTATTTAGATGAGTTTCGACCAATTTGAACTGTCAATTATTGTTTTCTATTAAATTGAACTTCAAGTTTGTATTTAGAGAATCGTAGTCAGAAATTTATTCATTAGAATTTAAAGCCCAAAATTAATTTAATTCATAGTCTAAATAGGCATATCTCACTAAAGTATATTTGTCATGCACTTCATAAGCATAGCCTTCTGAGTGGAGGGAAATTGTGATATAATTCTCTTTCAAAATGGAGAGGTCCACGTCACGTGGAGGTTGGGTGTGGCTGGCGATCTATTGAATTGCAATCTATCGTTTTGTTTTGGATTTTATAGTCTTTGTTACTTTCTAGCTTTCACCTTTCACCCTACACTTTTTGGCTTGAAAATCGACTTTTGACTTGTTATTATTCACTATTAGCCCGGCAGAAACTGCACTTGTTTCTATCTACTGCCTATTTTATTTTGAATCAAAAGTGTGTTCCCAACGCCTTCTCTTCTTACCAACCCCCGTGATCCCTTCCCCTTCCGTCGACATCAACCCCCCCCCCCCCCCCCCCCGCACCGCCCATTCCTTCCCTCCCTTCTGCTCCATTAATAAAAACCCTTCCTTCTGTCCGTCGACATCCACCTCAAAAAGAAAACCAGAAAAAGCTACAATCTTTCTTCTTTCTCTCCCATTCCACCATCATCATACCTTCCTGAAGCAACCTCCGTTTTATAACCCAACTGATACACTCCTTTTCTGTACGCTCTCAGTCTCTGCTCAGATTGCATCCTGCAAGATCATGCAGCCATGTGGCTGCTGCCGCGGCATCCTGACCACCAACCTCCTGCTCCTGCTACACCACCACCTCCTCAACAATGCTGATGCAGCGGCAAGCAAAGGGCGAGCTCTCCTCGAGTTCAAATCCGGAATCTCCGTAGACACCACGGGAATCCTTTCCACCTGGCTACCCACCACCAACCACTACACCGATTGGGAAGGCGACCCGGCCGGGTCACGTCCTTACTCCTCCAGGTACCGCCGGAAGGCTACATGAAGGGGACACTCTCGCCTTCACTCGGCAGCCTGTCGTTGCTGGAGAATCTGGTCATCACCGGGACGAACCACATCGCGGGGAACATTCCTGGCACCATCTCCAACCTGACCAGGCTCAATCAGCTGATCATCGAGGATTCTTCCATCGCAGGCCCCATCCCGCCGAGCTTAGGCAGCCTCCGTCGTCTCGCCTCCGTCTCCCTAGCTGGAAACCGCCTCGACGACTCTATTATATTCCACCTTCATTGTGGATTCTCCCTAGCCTCCAGCTTCTCAGCTTATCTCGAAATTCCCTCTCGGGAACCATCTCCACTGCTAGATCATCCGGTCCTTCACCGCTGCAGTCTATCAATCTCGGCCAAAATTCGCTTTCCGGAAGAATCCCTACCGCCTTCCCAAACATCACCTTTCTCGACCTCTCGTATAATCGTTTCTCAGGCTGGCTCCCGCCGTCTCTGTTCACCTTACAGAGTCTCTGAGACGTCTCGCTAGACCGTAACCAGCTCTCCGGGGAGCTCCCTGACGAGTTCACCGGACTTAAATCTCTCACTCGTCTCTCCATGAGCTCCAACCGGCTTTCCGGAGTGCTGATGTGACTTGAATCGGACTATCAGCCGCTAAGACTGGTAATCGGGGATCTCACTGGCCGTTTCCTTTGCCAGATTGGATTATGTTTATGGGTCTGATCTGTAACCGTTTCCTTTGCCAGATTGGATTAGGTTTAGAACCACATGGAGAAGTACTATAAATACTTCTCATACTCCTATGTAATCTCCTCGATATAGTGAAACTGACTCTCTCTCGCCCGTGGAAGTATCTAACACACATCGTGTTAGTGAACCACGTAAATCGTGTGTCGTGTTTTCGATTCTCGCTTTCGTATTCTTGCTTTGTCGATTCCTGCGATTTCCCGATCCGTAGCAGCGCGTTTATAACAAGTGGTATTAGAGCCGCGGCTGGAAATCAGGCTAGGGTTTTTCGATTCAGAAGAATGACGTCGGTGAACATGAAGATCGAAAAGTTCACGGGCAAGAACAGCTTCGCTATATGGCAGATCAAGATGCAGGCTTTATTAAAACAGCAAGGGCTGTGGGGGCCGCTGTCTGCGAAACAGAAGAAGGCAGCGGTCTATGACGATGAGTGGAATACTCTGGAGGAGACGGCCCACTCGACCATCATGCTATCGTTGTCTTATGACGTCATCATTGAAGTCGCTGCTGAGAAGACTGCCGCGGGCTTGTGGTTAAAGTTGGAGAGTCTGTATATGACGAAGTCCTTAACCAACAAGCTGCATCTCAAGCAACGGTTGTTCAGCTTGAGGATGCAAGAAGGTACGCCTTTGAGGGAACATCTCGAACAGTTTAACTCTATTTTGCTGGATCTGCGTAATATAGATGTTCAAGTTGATGACGAGGATGCTGCCCTAATCCTGCTGGTTTCTTTACCGAGTTCATATGAGAATTTCATTGACTCTTTTATTGCCGGTAAAGAAAGCGTGTCGTTGGAAGATGTCAGGTTTGCTCTTCATACGAGAGAGATCAGACATAAGGCGTCCGGATCTGGTACAGGCGGTGAGGCATCGGGTTTGGCTGTTACAGGTGGAAAGGGAAAGAAGAAATCTGGTGAAGGGAATTCGAACAAGAATTCCAAGGGTCCTGGTCCACAGCCAGGTGTGGCTTGTCACAACTGTAAGGAAGTGGGGCATTGGAAGTACAACTGTCCCAAGAGAAGAGGGCAACAGAAGAAACAAGGTTCAGTTGCCGTGGCAGAAGTGGACAACAGTTCTGAAGACGATCTTGCCTTGGCTGTAGATGAGAAGTCACATCGTGATGATGTGTGATTTCTGGATACTGCAGCCTCATACCATATGTCTCCGAACAGGGATTGCTTCACAACCTACGAGCAGATAGATGGTGGTAACGTGGTCATGGCTAATGGAGCTGTTTGCAAGGTTGTTGGAATCGGGTCCATAAAGGTTCGGACATATGATGGTTCGTTCTGTACCGTGAATGATGTCAGGCATGTTCCACGAATGACAAAGAATCTGAACTCCTTAAGTCTACTCGACAGCAAGGGTTTCAGTTTCAAAGGAAAAGGTGGAGTTGTGTATATCTGCAAAGGTTCAAGGAAGGTGCTGAAGGGCGTGAAGCGTGGGACCTTGTATGCATTACAAGGGTCTGTGTTGTCTGGTTCTGCTGCAGTTGCATCGTCTCAGGTTCATCAGGAAGATATAACCACTCTTTGACACATGAGACTGGGGCATATGAGTGAACGAGGGATGCAAGTTCTGTCGAAGAGGGATATTCTTTGCGGGCACAAGATACAGAATTTGGAATTCTGCGAGCATTGTGTGTTTGGGAAGCTACATTGCAACAAGTGTCCCAAGAAGGGTATTCACCGGACGAAGGGTTTACTAGATTACCTCCACTCCGACTGTTGGGGTCCTTCACGAGTTGAATCCATTAGAGGCAGCAGGTATTTTCTGTCTATTATTGATGATTATTCGAGATTTACTTGGATTTTCATGATGAAGCAGAAAAGTGAGGCTTTCACGAAGTTCAAGCAGTGGAAGACATTGGTGGAGAATCAGACCGGGAAGAAGATCAAGAAACTACGAACGGACAATGCTCTTGAGTTCTGTAATTCTGAGTTCAACGAATTCTGCAAGGATGAAGGGATTGCCCGTCATCGGACTGTGAGAGATACACCCCAGTAGAATGGCGTTGCAGAAAGGATGAATCAGACATTGTTGGAGAGAGCACGGTGCATGCTCTCTAATGCTGGACTAGAGAGAAGATTCTGGGCAGAAGCAGTGAACATGGCCTGCTTCCTGATCAACCGTGGACCTCACACAGGTATCGAATTGAAGACTCCTTATGAAGTGTGGTATGGTAAGCCTGCTGATTACTCATCACTGAAAGTTTTTGGGTGTCCTGTTTATTATCATGTGGATGAGGGTAAACTGAACCCAAGGGCAAAGAAGGCTGTATTTGTGGGTTACGGAGATGGAGTTAAGGGATTTCGAGTCTGGTCACCTTCTGAGCATCGAGTTTACTCAGTAGAAATGTGATATTTGATGAGAAGTCTATGTTTAACCCCATGTTGAAGGTTACTGTTGTTGAAGGTAGCAGGAATGTTGATAAGCAGGTGGAGCTGCAACAATCTATAGCTTCCGGTAGACCAAAGAGAGCGACTGCAGGAGTACCTCCAGAGAGGTATGGTTTTGAGGACATGGTGGCGTATTCATTTCAGGTTGCTGAAGAAGTGGATGCAGGTGAACCACAGTCCTATAGAGAAGCCGTTTCAGGTGGCGAAGCTGATCAGTGGCTTGCCGCAATGGGAGATGAGATGGAATCCCATGACAGGAATCAAACTTGGGAGCGAGTCAAACGACCACAGGGAAGGAAGATTGTTACAAACAAGTGGATCTACAAGAAGAAGGAAGGAATCACTTCTAAAGAGGGCATGAAATTTAAAGCTCGGGTGGTTGCACGAGGCTTCTCGCAGAGGGAAGGAGTTGACTATAATGAGATTTTCTCACCAGTGGTCAGACATACTTCGATCAGAGTGCTACTAGCAATAGTGGCACATTATGACTTGGAGCTCGAGCAGCTAGACGTGAAGATAGCTTTCCTACATGGAGAGTTGGAGGAAGAAATTTACTTGACTCAGCCAGAAGGATTCGAGGTTCCGGGAAAAGAAGACTATGTTTGTAAGCTGAAGAAGTCCTTGTATGGACTTAAGCAGTCTCCGAGGCAGTGGTACAAGAGATTTGACAGTTACATGCTTGAGCTGGGCTATAGCAGAAGTCCATATGATTGTTGTGTTTATCACAACAAGGTGGAGGATGGTTCGATGATCTATCTTGTTCTGTATGTGGATGATATGCTCATAGCTGCGAGGTCAAAGTCTGATATCCAGAAGTTAAAGGGGCTTCTCAGTGCTGAGTTTGAGATGAAGGATTTGGGAGCTGCTCAGAAGATCTTGGGTATGGAGATTTACAGGGATAGGCCGAAGAAGAAGCTTTTCTTGTCACAGAAGAGCTACATCCAGAAGATACTATCGAGGTTTGCCATGTCTTCAGCAAAGCCCTTAAATACTCCCAGTGCTTCAAATGTTCATCTATCCTCAGCTTATGCACCGCAGTCAGAGGCTGAGAAGGAGTACATGTCGAGAGTCCCATATGCTAGTGCAGTAGGTAGCTTGATGTACGCTATGGTATGCACTAGACCTGATCTTGCACATGCTGTTAGTGTTGTCAGCAGGTTTATGATACAACATGGGAAGGAGCATTGGCAGGCTGTGAAGAGAATCTTCCGGTACCTTAAGGGTACACCTGATGTGGGGATTAGCTTCGGAAGTGATACAGAGTGCTTGGTGTCTGGGTATTCTGACTTGGACTATGCTGGAGATGTTGACACGAGGAGATCGATGACCGATTATGTATTCACTCTTGGGAGTTCTGTAGTGAGCTGGAAGGCAACTTTGCAGTCGGCGGTGACATTGTCTACTACTGAGGCAGAGTATATGGCGTTGACAGAAGCTGCTAAGGAGGGAATATGGTTGAGGGACTGGTTGGTGATCTTGGTCTACATCATGATCAAGCAGTGGTGTATTGCTACAGGTTGAGTGCAATATGTTTGGCCAAGGATCAAGTCCACCATGAGAGGACTAAGCACATCGATGTGAGGTATCATTTCTTGAGGACAGAGAAGAGGATTAAGGTGAAGAAGGTTGACACCACGGATAATCCTGCTGATATGTTCACGAAGCCGGTTCCACATGGCAAGTTCCAACACTGCTTGGACTTGCTAAATGTCTTGAGTGGGTGACTCCGCCCTGCGGGGCATTGATGGCGGGAGAGAGATAGAAGGAGCAGAGTACATCAGAGATTTCAGAGGAAGAGGATTCAAGTCAAAGTGAGATTTGTTGATGTGACTTGAATCGCACTATCAGCCGCTACGACCGGTAATCGGGGGTCTCGCTGACAATTTCCTTTGCCAGGTTGGATTACGTTTATGGGCCTGGTCTGTAACCGTTTCCTTTGCTAGATTGGATTAGGTTTAGACCCACATGGAGAAGTACTATAAATACTTCTCATACTCCTCTGTAATCTATAATCTCCTCGATATAGTGAAACTGACTCTCTCTCGCCCATGGACGTAGCTAACACATATCGTGTTAGTGAACCACGTAAATCGTGTGTCGTGTTTTCGATTCTCGCTTTCGTATTCTTGCTTTGTCGATTCCTACGATTTCCCGATCTGTAGCAGCGTGTTTATAACACGGAGGAATCCCGCCTTCCCTTTCAGCTCTGCAGAAGCTCTTGTACGTTAATCTGTCCAGCAACGGCTTCTCCGGCCAATTGCCAGTCATCACAGGGCTGCCATCGCTGTTGTCGATAGATCTGTCCTTCAACAACCTCAGTGTAGGGACAGTGCTGCCGAATTGGATTAAGGACGGCCAGCTCTCCGACATCCGACTAGCTGGTTGCGGACTGAAGGAAAGGCTTCCGGTGTTCAGTCGACCAGACTCTCTCGTTTCTCTTGTTCTCTTCCATAACTCATTCGAATTCGGGATTTAAGGCCTTATGACGAACGCCTCCAGCTTGCAGAGCCTCGATCTCTCCAACAACCAGCTCGCATTCGACCTCAAGGAGATGAGATTGCCGCCGGGGATCTCTTCGGTTCAACTCCGGTCTAACCGCATCACAGGCTCACTCTCTGCGATACTCAACAACAGCAGCAGCAAAATAAGCTTTCTGGAAGTTTTGGACGTGTCGATGAATATGATATCAGGGGCCATACCAGACTCTGTCACCGGCTTGACCCGACTGAAGAGACTGGATATAGCTAGGAACAGAGTATCTGGGTCGCTTCCAGCGAGCTTGGGGAAGCTCGCCGATCTTCAGTGGATTGATGTTTCTGTCAACTTGTTGACCGGCAAAATCCCGAGCAGCTTGCTGACGGTTAAGAACCTGAGGCATGCGAACTTCAGGGCTAACAGACTCTGTGGGGAGATTCCTCAAGGGAGGCCTTACAACATCTTTCCGGCGAGCACTTATGCTCACAACCTCTGCCTCTGCGGCAAACCTTTGCCACTGTTCCGGGGGAGGGAATCAAGATACGAGCCAGCGATCGTGCTGCCTCGGTGAGAAAGTAAACATATTAGATATTAATATTAGCTGGAAAACGGATAGAGAGATAGTTGCCTGATATAATGAACGAAGCAAACTTACCTTAGTTCACCATTTCTGTAGACTGTAGTAGCTTCTCTTTCCCTGTGAAACTAAAAGCAGTACTCATTTGCTGTCATGAACATTCTTGCAAGAGATTTAAGGGGTAATCATATACCAACCACCATTACCATAATTTTTTATAAGCAAAACCGAAATTCCGATTGGTTCAGTAAAACAACCACCAACATTAACATATCTTCATTCAACTAAAGATGAACTAATGATAATACCAAAACCAGCTTCTTCAAGATATAACTAACACTAAGCAGCTGAACACTTAGCAACTAGCTACATTAGAGAAAGGAACCACAAGGCAACCACCCAACTAAATTACTTGAGTTGAGTGGCATAGAGAACATTTACAATGGAAGCGCTAAAACATCAAAATTCTGAGGTAGATGCTACTCTGAGCCAGATTCATCTTCTATCCCATCAGCTGCATCTTCCATCTTTGAGTCCTCTTCATCCGCCTTTGTGTCCTCTTCACCATCCTGTACAATACAAATGGGATTCATGTCAAGACACGTATTAGACAATTTGAATAAACATTCACGTCCTGGTTTAAACTTAGTTCAACGAGTTTTTTTAAGAAAGAATACTCACATCTTCACCCTCCTTGTCTGCTGCAGCTCCATTCTCAGGCCCAGTATCACTGCTATTGCCAGAGGTCTTCCCATGATCAGCCTTAAGCTGAGCAGCCTTTTCCAAGTAAGGTTTCTTCTCCTAAAACAGGTTAGGGAAGAACATGAGTGATGTCCACGGTTATAGTCTCACTTATACAGTTCTGTATAGAAGACAGCAAAACTAGACTCACTTCATCTGTCATGGATTTCCACTTCTCCCCAGCTTCCTTGGCTACCTAGAAAATCAAAAGGCGAATCAGGTAATGAAGAAAAACTACAACCCATGTATAAGTGGGGGAATAATTAGATTTGCAATAAACCTTCTTAACATCCTTGGAGTCGGGATTTGCTTCCTTGTATGTTTTCCTGAAGTCCCCGCTGGTGAAACACAAGTGTAATTAATAAGGTATTCTGAATCACAGGAGCTAAATTGAGACTAGAAGTAAGAGGGTTGATTAAAGCACTACTAACATGAAGATGAAAAAGGCAGTGGGAGGGCGTTTTGGCTTGTTTGGATCTTTGGCAGCCCTCTTCTCTTTCTTGGTTCTCTTTGCGTTCGGTTCTGCCACTTCCGTAGCGTTCCTGTTCCATACCCAAATCTTTAAACAACCCAAGAGAAACATTCACAACACATCGCTGACGAGCTAAACAAATTACCTTTCGGCTGCCTTCTTCTTCGTTGGCTTAACCTCAGCAGGGTTTTCCACGACTTGAGCCTCTATGAATCAGCAAATGGTGATTTAGGTCAGTACAAATTGTAACAGTCGACTACGACAGCAAAGGATGAAAAAGAATGGGAGTGTGGAGCTTAGAAAACGGACCTAAGTTCATCTTGATTTTGGCGTCAAGGCTGCAACTATGCATACCGATGAGAGCCACAGCAACATCCTTCTTGCACTCTTCACTGAGGTATTTCCACGAACACCACATATGCGCAATCAGCCCGTAGATGAATCGGTGATGAACGTTTAGCAGCGTAAAAACGAAAAGTTCACGCAGGGGAAAGAAATTGATTTACCATCGAGTAAATGCGCTGCCATTCCTGGCGCGTACCATGGAAGTACCAGAAGCACCATTGTCGGCCTCCACCCTCTTTCTTGCTTTCGTTGGGTTCGCCTTCACACTGCCACTTCCCGCCATTCCGACCTGATTCGAGTTAATCGACGAGCAAAATAGAAACACCGTGGAGGGAATTGAGCTCGGGCTTAGGATTTACGGGTCTCGCTGCGATTTTCCCTTCGAGTACAGAAAACTCTGGTTGCCAATTGAGAAATGAACAGCCTGCCTGCCCTCGCTTCCCGGGTTTAAGTCTATAATTTTTTTGGCGGTAGTCAGAAGAGGAATTCAGAAATTGAAAGCTTTCAAATTTTTCCCACTTTTGCAGTTTTGGCGCTTCTGTTGCGCGCCAATTGGTTCAGTTTTGGAGGGAAAAGGGCGAGCCCATCAGAGAAATTTTAGAATAGCCCAAGTATGAGCCCAGCCTCCACTCTCCACAAGCAGCCGGCCCATCTAGATGCCTTCACCCGATACTCGTTGTTCAAGGAGATTGGTGAAGATTTAGACTAACTCTATCTGCAGGTAATTTGTTTGTTATGGAGGATATGGAAAAATCGTTGTAAAGTTGTTTTTGAGTTCAAGCAAGTCCGTGTGGAAGAGCTTGTTGCACAATGGAGGCACCAAGTACAGGAGAATGACCAGGCCCTTCTGCAGGATCACAGTACTGTGACTTCAGCAGCAACAACTCACTCCAATACTCCTCAAGTGCCGCCAAATGTGCTTTTCGTGGGCTCTTTTGATGCAGGTACTCGACGGGGAGAGGACGGATCAGCAGCTTTTGTCGTTCGCCACATCTCTGGTGATATCATCGCTGCTAAAGCGACTCGGTATACTGCTTGCAGTGATCCATATGTTCTTGAAGCTCTGGCCTTGCGTGATTGTCTAGTGCATTGTACTCAGGCTCAGCTTCAGAATATCCACATTAAGGGTGATGCTAAAGTTATTTTGGACAAATGTCGAGCTGGCGACACGTGCGATTCCAAGATCGGGATTTTGCTCCAGGAAATTGTTTTGCTTCTTCAAGTTCTTTCCTCGGTCTCCCTCCAATTTGTTGGACGTTTGAACAACAGAGTAGCTCATTCGGTAGCAAAGCATGCTCTGGGTTTGTCGCCTCGTCAGATAGCGAGGTTCGACTATGTTGCTTGGTTACGTAGTAGATAGGTTTCTTGTATCTGTGAACTTTGGTCGCCCTCTTTTTCAGATTAATCTAATGGCAAAAAAAAAATATTTGTAGTGTAATAAAATTCCAAGGTTGAGATGAATCAAAGCAAGGATAAGGCATTTGACAAGGTTGAGTATGAGTGTGATTTTACTTTGAGGTTTCACTCTCTTTCAACGATATAACAATTTTCACATTCATAAACAACTGTCGTGTAAAATTTTGACATAATTGACTGAATCCTCGAGATCTAATAATCGATATAGACGCGTACCTCGAATAGACAAATCTCATCGTGAATAATAATGTTTTTATCAACATTGGAGAATGAAACTTACACCGTCATGGGCTAAGAGAAACAATATGTTGTTTCTCCTATCCATGAGATATAGATGGCAGGCACGATGTGTGTAGGCTGCAGCGACAAGCTGTGGAGGAGGGGGGGAACAATTGGCGAGACACGAATGTAGGACAGTGTTCAGTGATTATTTATTTATTTCCAATGTATAGTGAGGCAAAACGGTGTGATTGCTCCTATATTAATTATTTACCATGTTACACATAAGCATATAAAAGCGCAAAGTTAAGCACTTTTGTGCGCTTCCACCGCATCTGCAACTTATTTTGCTCTATCTTGTACAAAGAAACTTTTACATGGAAACTTAAACAATTTTGGTGATGTAAAAGCATAAAGTTTTAACCAAGTACAATTTGGACTACAATGATTGCAACCTCATAATTTTTATAACTATTGTGCTTCCATTTAAAGCAACAATATATTATTTTTCTTAGCAAAACAAATGATTAATTCCTTTAGGTCACAAATAAATTGGCTAATAACATTTGGATTTAATCTATTCAAAATACAAATGTATAGCCGTAACTATCGGCTTTGTGACAATAATAACCACTTTCGGAAAAAATAGAATAAAATAATCATTCCGTCAAAAACTTTAACGGAATCATCATATATACTAATTGGACTAACGAGTTTTGCTTATGTGGCATTTTTTCTAGCTTGCCTGGATTTTTATCCTTTTATTTTTATTAAAATAAATGAAAATTTATATTAAAAAGATAAAAAAAAATCTATCCACCGTTCACACCACTTGTTCACCTTCCCATCTCGAAAGTCGAAACCCTCATCTCGTTGTCATCATCATCTCAACCAATCGACCTGTTATAGCAAATCGCCCCTCAATCTCCGACGAAATCGTCGAACTCCAGGCCAAATCCTCATCTTGATGGCACCAATGACAACCACTCGTCCTCTTCCCTCTACTTGATTCTCCTCGTTCAGCTTCTTGATTTGAGGTGCCACCGGACGCACCCTTTGCGCCGTTGGAGTAGAGGTAACAACGGATGAGGCTGGAGCGACAGAGCAAAAAAGAGCCAAACAAGAGCAATATGGTTATTCTGCTAACAGCATAAGCTGTTAGTATATACTAACACGGTCGGATTTGAGGCCACGTAGGCGAGCCGCGATCTGACAGTGGAGGGGGAGAAGAGCATCTTGTGGCTCGGTTGAACCAAGCCTCTTCCTTTTTTTTTTACAATTCAAAAAAATCCAACCTTTTCATTTATGTTTAATTTTCTTTTCTCTCTCCATCATTTCATTTCCTTTCTCTCCCACTCTCCAAAACTGTCGACTGCTCTCTTCTTTTCTTCTTCTTCTTCCTCTCTCTCTCTCTCCCAAATAATTCAAAATACCTCTCGACAACGACGGGTGTGAGAAACACGACGCCGACGATGAGGGCTACGGGCAGGAAGAAGACGACAATGCAAGGAGAAGACGGCGGTGCTTGGCAACGCCAGTAGCGATGCTTGAAGGAAGACGAAGTCGGCCGAGCAAGAAGGAAGACATCGACGCCAGTAGCGCGAGGAAGACGACTACACCAGCTGCAAAGAGAAGAATGTTTTTTAGGTAAGCATCTTCCTTTCTCCTGATTCATTGACGCTGAAGGCGGATCTTTGAGGTAGGTGTTTTACCCTTCTCCTTCCTTGATTCACGGATACGAATGTTGGATTACATATATTTGATTTAGGGTTTCATAGATTCGATTGGATTTTAGTTTTTTTTTTGGCTTCGTTTTTTGGATCTGAGATTCATTGTTAGGGATCTGGGACTCTTGTCGGGGGATTTGAGATTCGATTTGGGGGATCTGGGATTCTTTTGATTTGGGGGATTTGGATTTCTTTCGATTTGGGGGATCTGAGATTTTCTGTGGCTGGATTACATATATTTGATTTAGGGTTTCATAGATTAGACTAGATCTGAGTTTTTTTTTGCTTCGTTTTTGGATCTGAGATTCATTGTTAGGGATCTGGGATTCTTGTCAGGGGATTTGAGATTCGATTTGGGGGATCTGGGATTCTTTTGATTTGGGGGTTTTGGATTTCTTTCGATTTGGGGGATCTGGGATTTTCTGTGGCTGGGATCTGAGATTCGATTTGGGAGATCCGGGATTCTTGTTGACCTGGGTATTATTTAGCAGGTCTTGGGTACTGGTTTGTTGGATGTCGATATTGTTTGAGGTTTCTGGATTTTGCTCGTTAATTTGATATTTTTTTTAACTTGAAAATTGTTTAGCTGGCATGGGATACCATTTAGTTTAATGTGGATATTGTTTGGTGGTTGATTGTCCGGATATTGGTTATGTGATGCATAGGTATTTGTAGGTCTGGATATTTTTATGTCCTGTATGGATATTAGTTCAATGATATTATGCTCTTTTCAGGAATTGTGCAAGATGACAAAATCCAAAAGGTGTTTGATGCCAGCTTCTCCAAGAGAAGGGGAGGCGGAGACACATCACTGGCTCAATCCAGACGCATCATGCTGGGAAAACAAAGATTTTGACAACCTTGACCTAAATCAGGTACATAGATGTTGTCTTTGCTTCTTAAGTGACATGGTTGCATATAGTAGACTAAATATTTTACAACATATGTAGCTTGCAGCAATGAAGTCAATGGTTGAGAGCATGATCCAAATGTGGAGGGCTCGGGATGACGCGCTCAAAAAAATTATCAAGCGTTTAGACCAGCAAGACAACAGTTGAACTATTGCTTTCTCATTTCTTATATGGTTGTGCTTTTTCGGATTTGAAATTTTTGGATTGCCAAGCTGTAATGACATTAAATACTAGTTTTTATCGCGATTTGTCTATCAATCGACTCTTTTTATTAAGAATTTGAATTTTTTATTCTGGAATATTATTTGCTCGTCGAAAACACATCTCCACGAAACAAATATCCAAACCACTTGCACTAATATCCGACTGTCGCACTAATATCTGTTCTCCATTACAAATATCCATACTACCCAGACTAATATCTCACCGTCTCATACTAATATCTAGTCATCCCGAAATGAATATTCTCGCTATCACAGACTAATATGTGACCACATATCCAGAGTTTTTTATTCTGGAATATTATTTGCCAGACATGAATACTAGTTGGTTTGAAATTGAAATTAGCTCGTCGAAAACACATCTCCACAACAAATATCCAAACCACTCAAACTAATATCCGACTGTCGCACTAATATCCGTTCTCCATTACAAATATCCATACTACCCAGACTAATATCTCATGTCTCATACTAATATCTAATCATCGCGAAATTATATTCTCACTATCACAGACTAATATGTAACAACATATCCAGCCATAGTCTCTTAATAGCAATTATCATAGGTTGAAAAAGACCTTACTTTCAAATTTTCATCAAAAAATTAAATATATATATATACTATTTATTCATACTTGAAAACCAATTTAGATAAACATCCACACAGAACAAAAATTCAAACCACCCAGACTAATATCCGACTGTCGCAAACTAATATCCGCTCACCATCACAAATATCTACACCACCCAGACTAGTATCCCTTTGTCTCAGACTATTATCCAGTCATACCATAATTATTATCCTCACCATCATAGACAAATATCGACTAATATCTTACCCCCGCAAACTAATATCCGACTACTCAGACAAATATCCACACATCACAAACTAATATCCTCCTATCCATAATAATATCCTATCACCGGAGACAAATATCGAACCACCCTAAAAACTAAACCAAAACTCCAAACTTGAAACTCTGACCCTAAACCATAAACCCGAACCCTAAACACTAAACCAAAACTCGAACTCTAAACCTGAAACACTAACCCTAAGCTCTAAACACTAAATTGGTTTAATCAATTTCTGATGGTATAAATTCAACGTCTCTTTTTATTAAGGATTTGAGTTTGTTATTCTGGAAAATTATTTACTAGACATGAATACTAGTTGGTTTAAAATTGATATTAGCTCGTGGAAAATACATACTCAAAAAAATATTCAAACCACCCAGACTAATATCTGTCACACTAATATCCCTTTTCCATAACAAATATCCATACTACCCAGTCTAATATCCCACCGTCTCAGACTAATATCTTGTCATTCCAAAATTAATATTCTCACTATAACAAACTAATATCCGCCACACAAAGACTAATATCCGACCACACAGACAAACATCCACACGTTGCAACCTAATATCCTCCATCACATAATAATATCTTATCACCACAGACAAACCATAAACCATAAAAACTATTATTATTTAATAGGTAGTTACCAAAAGTGCCTCATTAGAATATCCAAACGTCCCAGTCAAATATATAAAAACATGAACTAATATAAATTTAAACCAAAACTAAACTCTCAAAACTAAACCATTAAACCCTAAACCCTAAACCTTAACAGAAACCCTACAGAACAATATCCAAACGTCTCAGACAAATATCTAGTGACACCTAAATAATATTGTAAATATAAGAGAATAATATCCATAACATACTGACTAGCATCCACCACAAACTAAATAATATCCATCATGTACTGACTAATATCCGCCACACACTGACTAATATCTTATAGTTGTACACTAATCCAAATAGTTACCAAAAGTGTTAGATGCTTAAATAAACGTTGGACAACATCTTAATAGTTACCAAAAGTGCCCCATTAGAGTATACAAACGTCCGAGAAAATTTCCGCAAACATGAACTAATATCACTTCAAACCAAAGCTAGACCCTAAACCCTCTTCCCAACACAAACCCTAAACCATAAAAACTATTATTATTTAATGGGCAGTTACCAAAAGTGCCTCATTAGAATATCCAAACGTTCTAGTCAAATATACAAAAACATGAACTAATATAAATTCAAACCAAAACTAAACCGTCAAAACTAAACCATTAAACTCTATACCTTAACACAAACCCTGCATAACAATATCCAAACATCTCAGACCAATATCTAGTGTAACGTAAATAATATTGTATATATAACAGACTAATATCCACAACACACAAACTAACATCCACCATACAATAAATAATATCCACCATATACTGACTAATGTCCACCGCACACTGACTAATATCTTATTGTTGTACACTAATTCGAATTGTTACCAAAAGTACCAGATGCTTAAATAAACAAAGGATCACATCGGAATAGTTACCAAAAGTGCCCCATTAGAATATCCAAAGGTCCCAAAAAAATATCCGAAAACATGAACTAATGAACCCTAAACCCTAAAACTAAAACGAATATCCACACTACCCAGACAAATATCCAAACCACCTAGTCTTATATCTTTTTGTCTCAGAAGAATATCATGTGATCCCAAAAATGAATATTATCACTATGACATAATAATATCCACCACATACTGACTAATATATGATAGTTGTAGGCTAATCTGAATAGTTACCAAAAGTGCCCATTAGAATATCCAAACGTCCCAGACAAATATCCGAAAGCACGGCCTAATATCAATTCAACCCAAAGCTAATATCCGAACCACGTAAACTAATATCCATTCATTGCAAACGATCACAAGACTAATAACTAAACCTTTAACCCTAAAAAATAAACCCTAACACTAATACTAACACCCTAATCACTTTACCAAAATATCCCTATTAGAATATCCAAAAGTCCAAGAAAATTTCAGAAAACATGAACTAATATTAATTCAAATTTAAGCTAGACCCTAAACCCTTAACCCTAAACCGTAACACAAATCCTAAACCATAAAACTATTATTATTTAATGGGCCTTCGGCCCATGGGCCCTCGGCGTGCAGCCCTAACTAAGGTTGCAAGTCTTATGTGTTAGGACTTCCTAGTGTATTTAATTTCCTAGTGTGTTTAATTTGATGTAAGAAACAATATTCCAATACTTCACAAATTGAAAACCCGAACCATAAACCCTAAAACTTAAACTCTAAATTGGTGTAATCAGTTTCGGGTGGTTGGGTTATTTTGGGGTTTGGTAAATATTAGTTTAATGATGGATATTGGTTTGCGAAGGAAGAATACTAGTTCATTTCAATAATGATGCAAAGTAATATCAACACATCACAAAATAATATCGACTGAAAATAAATAAATATCCACACAAACAAACATACATAAATATCACATGGACTGCGGGCCCACAATTTTCATTCTCTCTCTCCAAACCTCTCCAAAATCCGGCCCAAACTGAAGCGGGCCCACAAAGCCACTTCCTCGGCTCACCTTTTGCGCCACACGTTGGGCCGGCTTCTACCTCGAAGCCCATCTCCAGCTCACTTAAGTGAGCCACCAACGAGCCCGTCTCTCCTCCATTGGATCAAACATGGGCCGACGTGGCACCTAATCCGGCCCTGTGAGTATCTGCTAACGAATATAGCAGTTAGCAGATTAACTTCTGCGATATAAGAGGGTTTCTGATTTTCTTTTTCCTTTACCTTCCTTTAGATTGGGATGAATTAGGTGATTTTCTCTAGACCATATCTGAGAGCAACAACATGCGTTTGTGAAAGAATAGTAAGGACTCCCCCAAATTCAAAGCCAACAATGGACTAGTGAAGGCATATAATCTACGGCAACAAGATCTTCACCGGCTACCAGGACGACAAGATCTGAGACCCGAATGACAAGATTCAACACCATATAGGTAAATCAGAGACAATCGACACCACCTATGTTCTCTCGCCGTCGATGAAGCCCTTTGCCGCCGATGACCCTATGTCTCCTCGTTGTCGCCACCATCGATTCCCTCTGTTTCGCTTGGAAGACGAATGGAGGAAGACGAGAGAAAAAGAGATAAGGTTTTTACGGTTGGCTTTCTTTTGAATCCATAAGTATTTCCTTTTATGTCGAGAGAGGAGAGCTAATTCATTTCCATCCATTTTGCCGATAAAACTAAGGCCAAGTCCAATGCAAAACCCCAAATTTGGGAATTGGACCCCATTTTCCCTTCTTTTGCTCCAATACAACAAACTCCATATTTGGGGATCTCAATATTTCAAGTTTTTCTATTTATTTAAAAATGTATTTATCGAAACTTTAATATAATTTGTTCATGTGAATTTTTGTATAGTTCGTCATCATTTTTAAATACAAATTTTTCGATACAATTTTGTTAAATTTCGAGACCAAATTTTTTTTGGCGAAAAATTATGGACCTAATTTGGGTTTACACACAACACTTGAAAATGATAAAGCTTAACGAGTTGACATAATAAATCAAATGGTACAATTCATAGGTTACACACAACACTTGCTAATCATAAAGCTTAAATACTACACACAACACTTGAAAATGATAAAGTTTAAACATTACACACAACACTTGAAATGATAAAAGGGGAACACATAACATGTCAATAATCACCCAGAAGGGAATAGTAATTCCCGTAATCTCCTCCTCCACCTTCATCTCCTCCTCCGGTTTGACTTGCGTTGGATGAATAGTCGGGAACAGAGTTGGGATCATCTTGATCATACCCTAGGAGCATGTTTTGATGATTTTTGTAAAACTTCCTCTTTCTTGGTGTCAACTTTGACAAGTCCTTTTCAATAAGATCAAGATTGTTTCGAAATAGTGCTGCTTCCCTCTCTTTTTTCTCAACTTCCCACTTTTCTTTGTCACGCTTTGATTTTTGTTCTTGGAATTCCATCCTTCTTCGCTCATACTCAATCCTCAAAGCATGCCTCTCCTTCAACTCACTTCCATACTCCAGCAATTGAGCAGTGTAGCTCTCTGATGACTTGGCAACCCCCTTTCCTTTCTTCTTGGCTGCCTTCTGTTTGTCGCGTCCAGCAGGGCGAGATATGACGAATGGTGGAGTTTCTTCGTCTCCTTCTGTGTCATTGAGGTTCGTCTGTGGTGTTGATTGATAACCAAGACCCATGAGAGAACCATCAGAACCTTGACTCATGCGGCTTTGATTTGAAGATGGCATTGGACTCGCGGTATGAAATTTTTGGCATCTTTTCAAGATCCACCAACAATGACCAAAATTCCAACCCTTTTCTCCGGTCTCGCTTAAATAGAGCTGTTCTGCGATATGCTCCTATACTTATAAACGAATGAGATGGAAAAGGAGTTAGAAAATAGAACACACATACTAATGAACGAGGTAAAAAAATAACAATGATGGTGACGGAGAATTCATACCACATCCATTTGATTCGTGCCACTTGGTTGATTCCTCTCTGCCCTTTGGATAGCTGAATTCCAACACTTGCAGTATTTGGTGATTGTGCCCATTCGATTAGCCATGCTTTTGATAGTACGAGATGTGTTTCGATCGAAATTGCTTCGCCACTCGATCCCAGAACCTTGTATCCCTTTGATTGACACCCACAGCTCCATCTTCCGATATCTTCACCCAAGAACTACACAAGTTCTTATCTTCCTCCACTGTCCAATTCCCTTTTCTCTTGCTTGTCATTGTTTGGTTTTTAGAGAGACAAAGATGATAGAAAGAATGATGAGACTAACAGAAAATTTCAATAAGAATCAATGGTAGAGAGAGAGGAGAGGATGTCTGAATATATAGAGAATTTATGACCGTTCAGATATAAACCTTAGGTAAGGTTGGTAGGTAAGGCTATTAGGTAGCACATGTTCGAATATGACTGTTAGGCAAGGTTGGTAGGTAGCACATGTTTGGATATGACCTTTAGGTAAGGTTGGTAGGTAGCACATGTTCGAATATGACCGTTAGGTAAGGTTGGTAGGTAGAACATGTTTGAATATAAATGCAAATCCCCCATTTACCATCAATTGTATACTTGTCTGAAACGTCCTCCCATTTCTAAAACAAACACATCCATCATGAGTTCCTCATATTACTCATCGTCTGGAGGAGAACAAGAGATAGAAGAGTTGAATCTGTTTAACTATCATCGTTTGACTTTAATCGGGCGGAGGCTTGAGGAAGCTTCACGCTCACGTCGTCGTTCAACAAATCGCACCTACATTGATCGTGAAAGGGTCTCAGGTCATGACCGTCTTATGCAGGATTACTTCAATCCAAATCCAACATACGATGCCAGCATATTCAGAAGGCGTTTTTGTATGCAACCACGACTATTCAATCGCATAATGGGTGACGTTGTGAGGTATGATCCCTCTTTTGCACGAAAGAGTGATGTCGTTGGTCACTTAGGCCTATCGCCGAAGAAAAAGCTTACTAGTGCACTGCGCATGCTAGCTTATGGATCTCCAGCTGATCAACTTGATGACTACATGCGTATGGGTAAGAGCACTGTGCTTGAAGTCTTCAGGAAGTTTTGCAGAGCCATTGTCGGGATGTACTCATCGACATATCTTCGTGCACCAACCCCTGCTGATCTAAGGATTCTACTTCATAAAGCCTCACAATTCAGATTCCCTGGTATGATTGGATCAATTGGTTGCATGCACTGGGCGTGGAGGAACTGTCCTACTTCTTGGACTGGGAAGTACTTGGGGCACAACCGTAAACCAACAATCATTCTCGAGGCAGTGGCTTCGTACAACACCTGGATATGGCATGCTTTCTTCGGCCCGCCTGGGTCGAATAACGACATCAATGTTCTGGGGATGTCTCCAGTGTTTGACGGTGTCCTCAACGGATCCACCCCATGAGTATGATTTGAGGTAAACGGTCATACCTATGATTAATGTTATTATTTGGCTGATGGTATTTATCCTTCGTGGTCAACTTTAGTGAAAACATTCAACAATCCAAGCTCAAACAAAGAAGCCTTGTTTGTTCGATGTCAAGAAGTACATCGGAAAGACGTAAAGCGGGCCTTTGGAATTATTCAAGCTAGATGGGCAATTGTTTGTGGCCCTGCAAGATCTTGGGATGTTGCCACAATTAATGATATAATGTTGACATGCATTATATTGCACAACATGATAATCGAGGATGAGCAGGTTGATTCTGACGATGAGATGGAAGATAATCTTGATTATGAGGTCCACGACCAACAACCAACTAATGTCGATAGAGATATTCCAACCCTAACTGAGTACTTAGCTAGGAATAATAGGCTTCGTGTTGCACCAACACATCATGGGCTTCGTCGGGACTTGGTCGAACATATTTGGAACTTGCATGGAAATAATTAGTCATTGTTGTTGCTTGGTATCGATGCTGGGATGCTTTGTAATTCAATTAAAGTTGTAGTTGGTGACAATTTATTTTGTAATTTAAGAACGCATTTTCATTTCAATAATATAATTTTCATTCTTAGTTCGATCTAATTTTTGTTTACACACAACTTAAAGATGATAAACATAAATTTTAAATAAAATGAATTCAATTTAAGTCATCTTAGAAAAAAGCCTAAATACACAAATATTAAACAAAATCTAAAAAACCTAAATACAAACATTAATTCCCCTTTCCCTAATTAATAACATTCAATTCCCTTAATCAATTTTCTTAAATAACTAATAAACAATTAAAAAAAAGCCGATGGGCGGCACAGTGGCCGGGCTGGGCGGTGCGCCGCACGCGCAAATTTGTAAGTGACCGCTACTCACAAATTTGGACTCTCTAAGACTATCTCCAACCCAAGCATGCAAATTTGGAGAAAGGGAGGTTTTTGGCTTTTTTCATCTCCAACCCACCAATTATTTGGCTTGCAAATTTGGAGAAGTGGGCTTGGGAGTGGATAGATAGAAGCTCATATGGAAAAATGCAAGGAGAAGGTGGGGGACCAACCATGCAACCCAAGCCCACACGCTGGGGCCCTCCACTTTCCAACATCTTTTTTTTTTTTACTTTCTTAATTTTTGATTGGTTGGTTATGAGTTGGGAAGGCAAATTTAGAAGGTTTAGGGTTGGAGCAAAAATGTGTTTTTGGAAGGTAAAAATGCACATTTGAGAGCTTGAGAGGCTAAATATAACCTTTTGGGTTGGAGTTAGTCTAAATTCATAGATTGCACTAATTTGATTCTTCTTTTGATTCTCTAAAAAATGGTTAATTGCATGATTGGTCACTGAGATTACAAAAAACGTTCATGTTTGGTCACTCGAAATATTTAAATCCATTGGTGGTCCTTTAGTTTTCATCTCCAACCCACCAATTATTTGGCTTGCAAATTTGGAGAAGTGGGCTTGGGAGTGGATAGATAGAAGCTCATATGGAAAAATGCAAGGAGAAGGTGGGGGACCAACCATGCAACCCAAGCCCACACGCTGGGGCCCTCCACTTTCCAACATCTTTTTTTTTTTTACTTTCTTAATTTTTGATTGGTTGGTTATGAGTTGGGAAGGCAAATTTAGAAGGTTTAGGGTTGGAGCAAAAATGTGTTTTTGGAAGGTAAAAATGCACATTTGAGAGCTTGAGAGGCTAAATATAACCTTTTGGGTTGGAGTTAGTCTAAATTCATAGATTGCACTAATTTGATTCTTCTTTTGATTCTCTAAAAAATGGTTAATTGCATGATTGGTCACTGAGATTACAAAAAACGTTCATGTTTGGTCACTCGAAATATTTAAATCCATTGGTGGTCCTTTAGTTTAGTGAAACCGTTTACGTTTGGTCACTCTCCGTTAGTCGCCGTCAATCTCCGTTAATAAAGTCCGTTAAGTGATGACGTGGCAGACAGAATCATCTAATCAGCCTTATTTAACCGGAAAATAATGAGACCCGACCCGCCACATCACTAAAATCTGACATGTCATTTGGACCAACCCAACCCTCTAACCAAACAAGACCCGACCTTTGAACTAACCGACCCACATATAATAAATCCCTAAAATCTAAACCTGAAGTCCACTTATCCCCTTCTTCAATCTTGTGCCTCCTTCCTTCCTTCCGACTTTCTTCCTCTTCCACTATGTTCGATATTTCACCGGCGGCAGGAGGGAGGCTTAGCCATGGTGATGATGGCGATCTGGCGACAGTGGGCTTGGATCGACGATGATGGCGAGTTGGAGGCGTTGCTAACTTTTGCTTCTCTTGGGATCTCCGATTTTTCACACAATCAACGATGATGGCGAGTTGGAGAGATTGATTGTCAACCTAATTTCCCCATTTCCTTTCTATCCATCGTCGCTTGTAATTGGAAAATCAGTTGATGGTAATTAAAAGGGGTTAGCACCACTGGAAAACAACAATCATTATTAAAAATTCCCAATTTGGTGTTGAAACACCCTCCAGAGTTCCTCCACCTCTACCTCTCTTGCCACAACATCAATCCTCACCCTAATGGCATTGCTGGTGGCTTTTCAAGAGCGCCTCTTCTACATTCATCGTCCCTTATCTCACTGCGTTCCTCCCAATCAGCCGTTCAGCCCTTAGTTTGATCTGGTGGTTTCCATGACTAGATTCAGAAACACCAATGACAAAGATCTAATCCTCCACCGACCCCAGCCTCTCCTTCGGTCTTCACACCATCGCCGACCACACCCCCACCAGTCATCTCCCCGTCATCTGTCGTCGCCACTGCTCCCCTCGCCTCTATAGAAGTCCTCTGTCGATCTGTTGCCTCTATGTCCACCCGCTACTGTTGCTCTTTCCTATATGTTCTGTAGATCGATTGCTACTCCAACCATCTCCTACGGTGGGTAGATTCAACAAAGATCTGGTGCGAGAAAGGAACTGAACGGGGAAGCGACCAAAGGAGGGTTGAAGTAGGGGAGTTGGGGGAAGATGATAAGGAGAGGGTTTTGTGGTTGTGGTCAGGAAAGAAGCGGGTGGAAGAGGAAAGCGAACAACGTTGGAAAGCAGAAGGTAGAGAGGGTGGGTCGGGTCACGGGTTGGAAATGGTTCGATCATGGTTTTGGTTAGAGTGGTATGACATGGCGGGTTATGATGATGTGGCTGGTCGGGTTTTCATTTTTCGGGTTAAAATTGGCTGAGTAGACTTTTCTGTTAGCCACGTCAGCAAAAAACTGACGTCGTTAATGGAGACTAACGGAAGGTAACGGAGAGTCGGAGAGTGACTAAAGTTGAACTGTTTAAATAATCTTAGTGACCATGAATGGATTTAAATATTTTCAGTGACCAAACATGAACGTTTTTTGTAATCTTAGTGACCAACCATGCAATTAACCCCTAAAAAAATAGGATAATGACTATTTTTTATCCAAATCTTTTTCATATTCTTTTATATTATCCAAATTTATCGAAATACTAACAATTAGCCAAATGTTAACTTTCATTTCGCAATTTTGTTAGTAATATTGACTTGGAAACATGATATTTTGGAAGAGATACATGAAGGTCAACATTCCAAAATTTTAGTATTTTAACTAAGAAAAGAGTTACAAAATTATTACCGATAACGTAAAAATGACTAATATTTGGATGCAATACGAAAGATTTGGCTAATTAATAGCATTTTAATAGGTTTGGATAATATAAAAGAATCTGGAAAAGGTTTAGATAAAAAATATAAATTACCCAAAAAATAATACAAACAATAGAGGGTTAATTGCAAGGATGGTCACTAGGTTTACTAAAACCGTTCATGTTTGGTCACTGCAAATATTTAATTTCATTCATGATCACTAAGATTAGTTCAATCGTTCAAGTTTGGTCACTCTCCGTTAGTCTCCGTTAGTTTTTGCTGAGGGTAAATTGCAAGGTTGGTCACTGGGATTACTAAAAACGTTCATGTTTAGTCACTAGAAATATTTAATTTCATCAGTGGTCATTAAGATTAGTACAATGATCCAATTTTGATCACTGGCCGTCCAACTCCGTTAACTTTTGCTGATGTGGCAATCAACCCTCATAGTTGACCGTTAAATAAATGACGTGGCGATTAAAAAATAATCAAAATAATAAAATCTCATCTTTTACAATTTCCAACTCATTTTTATATTACATAAAATAAATACACATGGAAAATAAATAAATAAATAAATAAAAGGAAAGCCAAAAGCTCGCTGTTCATTCAACGGGGAAAAAAAGCTCGTTGTTCCCGCTGGCGAACCCTGCGCTTCTCCTCCGGTAAGTAGCATACCAGTTTTTTCACCAGACGCCATCATCGATTCAGGCAATTGTACCTTCCCTCGCCATCGACGAACCCACCTTCAGCAACAACAACACCCGTCGCGGTCGACCTGACCAACGCAATAAAAAAGAAGATCCAAAGTCAAGAGGAAAACTTGAGCTTCCCAAAAACGAGCAACGAGCAGCCAAAAAGAAACAAACGAGATTCCGACCACCAGAGATTGGTGCGGCGCCGGAACACCGCCGCCTTCCATCTCGCCGCCAGATCTGAACTCATGGTCTCTGTTGACGACCTTGGAGGCTTCAAATTTCTTTTATCAACGACACACAACCCAAAAATTAGAACCCTCTTTAATCGAGATCCCGCATCTATTGCCCCCACTGCCGCTGCCAATCTGATTCCCGAAATCTGACAAGTAACCAGAGCAGCGGTGCAAAGAGTTGCGACAATGGCAACTGTCTCTGTGTCTTCCCCGACGGTGATCGCATGCTCCTAACTTCTTCCTCTTTGCATTCATCGAGGGTTCGAAAATCAAATCAAGAGAGTTTGGGATGTTGAAGTCATGGTAGTGGGATGCCCATTAGAACGGTGCATAAGTGATCTCCATCCGAAGCGACAACGAGAAGCGAGAGACAATTTAGTTAGTCATATGATTTGAGCTTTCGATGCAGAGTCGTCCCCAATTTTTGGTATCTTGCAGGGAAGTGGAAAATTGGAAATCATGGAGGCGAGAGACAAGTTTGATAATTAAATTACTTTTATTATTTATTTATTTTAATTTCCATATTTGTTTATTTTAATTTATTATGAAAAATATTATTTTTATTATTTTTTAATTGTCACGTCATTTATTTAACGGTCAACTATAAAGGTTGACTGCCACATCAGCAAAATTTAACAGAGTTGGACGGCCAGTGACCAAAATTGGACCGATGAACTAATTTTAGTGACCACTAATGGAATTAAATATTTTTAGTGACTAAACATGAACGTTTTTAATAATCCCAGTGACCAACCGTGCAATTTACCCTTTTTGCTGATGTGGCAGTCAACTATTATAGTTGACCGTTAAATGAGTGACGTGGCCATTAAAATATATTAAAATAATAAAATTTAAATATTTACAATTTCCACCTCATTTTATAACTACTAAAAAATAAAAATAAAACTTAATAGATGACCTCCGCCATCTACGCCACCGCCATTTTGATCCCTCCTCCTTCGATTTCTCTCCCCCTCCTTCCTATTACTCACCCGCCGGATATTCTCCCTTCTATTCCCTCGCTCACAAACCCTAAGATTCCAAAGGAAGAGTTGAACAAGACCGGCCCCGGCCCCCGCTCACTTCCAGATGGCGACCACTACCACTACTAGCCTCAGCGACGGCGGCGGTGGCAGATCTGTTTCCACAACCAAGCCATCGTCACAGGACACATGAATCCCCTATACTCAATTCAAGCATGAGAAGATGACGAACCCAAAAGGAGACGACAAGGGGTAGGGGAGAAACGAATATAATAGCAAAGAAAACGGGAGACAAGAAGAAGAAGAAGGGAGAAAGATGGAGAGGGAATGGCCTCTATTAGAGAAGTTCGAAAGCGGAGCTACAACGATGTTCAGAGAATGCCTCACAAGCGACGGAGTACAAATCAAATGCCGACTGGAAGCGGAATCGACACCCGATCCCAAAAAGAATCATATTACTTGACCCCCCGCAATTGGAATTCGGCGACAGAGATCGACAGCTGCCGCCTCTGGTGAATCTGGTTCGACGCGGTTACACAGGCCCTAGACTCAGCCATAACGCTATCCACATCCTTCAAGGCAACGAGGAGCTCCCTCTCTCTGTTGGTTTTTCCGGCTCCAAAGGTTCGACTGAATCTAACTACTGGAGAGAGCGGCAATCGAACAGAGAAAAGCTCAGCGAATCCGAAACGCTAAATTGAAATTTTTCGGGGCAGGTGGAGAATGAAGCAAAGCGAGGTGGACGTTGAGGAAAGAGCGGCGGTGGAGACGATCACGTCATGGCCACGACGCATCAGTCAAAGCTGAGCGTATCAGAGAGCAGTCGATGGCGGAGGCCATCTATTAAGTTTTGTTTTTATTTTTTAATAGTTGTAAAATGAGGTGGAAATTATAAATATTTAAATTTTATTATTTTAATATTTTTTAATGGTCACGTTACTCATTTAACGGTCAACTATAATAGTTGATTGCCACATCAGCAAAAACTCACGGAGATTAATGGAGAGTGACCAAATTTGAACAATTGAACTAATTTTAGTGATCATAAATGAAATTAAATATTTATAGTGACCAAACATTAACGGTTTTAGTAAACCCAGTAAACATTCTTGCAATTAACCCAATTAACCCAAACAATGGACTTTGAGACAAACTCATCGTCCTTGTGATTTGGATGACAAATTGCCCAAAACCAAAATCCACGAAGCAAATCACCCATGATTGGGGCTGGGGGAGAGTTCGTTCTCTCCCCGAATCTATGACTTCAGTCGCTCCCTCCGACTCTATGCAGTCGTGTTGTTTCTGTTCTCTTTTTTAAACCCTAACTTCTATCCGGTCCAGTCCAGCAGTGGCAAGAGTTTGGAACTCCAATGGCGCTCGTTAGGTACTCTCTCTTGGCTTTCCCCCTCTTTCTGCTTTCAACCCCGCGAACGCACAGACGCATTCACTGGCCTGATTTCTTCGTCATCTCCTCCTTTCATTTTGTTTGTGGAATTTACAAGTGAGAACTGCTGCCCTCTGCCTAACAGTCAATGCTTCTTCTGCTTAATTCTCTCCTGATCACATCATCAAAAGCTTCGATCTTTCGAAGCGCCCGCCTTTTTTTTCACTCACTTCTGTGCCATTGGGCATTGGGCTTTTTGTGGTTCGCACCGCAGGCAATTTGGTAATTTTTTTAAAGCGAGGGTCTTCTCTCTTCCTTTGAAGTCCTTTGCATGGCTGATTTCGTCTCCTCTTTCTGTCTCTCCGTTCGGTTTGTTTGAGGTCTTCAATCACTCAATTGCATTGGCTGTTGCCTTCTCATCATTTGTCTGATTGGTCTGTTCCCTCGTTTGGGTAGCTTGTTTGAAGTATTTACAGTTCTCCCATTTCATTCTTTCTGAGCTCTTTTGATTTATTTTTCGGAAGAAATTTGACTTATATGGGTAAAATTTGTTGGGATGAATGGTCTTCTGGTTTGGTGTTGGATTACTGTGCAGTTTTCCCTTGCCATTATCACCTCTTTGAGACTTTGACATGCCTCTAGTTGCTTGTGTACTCAAGTGAGTGACTTGCTTCGTACTTTTCTTTTTCTATTTTCATAGCTTGAATTGCATACGGTTTTCTTTAAGCTGTGGAGCTGGTTCTCACCCCTTCCTCCTTGACCTTTTATTTGCACTCCTCTTCATGATTCTGGGTCCAGGCTACGAATTTGTAACTGGAAAACCAGTGGTTGAAGAATTGGGGATGCAATCCTTTTAGATGTCAGATCATGGGGTTCTTAGTTCAACTTGGAGATGTTTTTCCACTCTAGGGCATTGGATCGGTAACATATTACCAAGAGATAACAAACATTCTGTGAGTCATCTGTGCATGCTGTATGCTAAAGAGTTCGTTTTTTACTTTATTTGTTTGGTGTTTTGAGATTTTGACTTTTCGTGACTGGCAGAGATTGTCACCTTTTACTAATTTTGCTGAGTTAAGGAGCCGTGATCTGGTTGAAGCCAGGGATATTCAGTACCTGATTGAAATGGGGGATCATATAGATATTAGTTCTGATAGTGACTTTGAGCTGGATGAGGATGATGATTACGGTGGTGTATCACTGATAGAGGGCCCTACTAATACCCGAATTCTTCCGCAATGGGCGACAAACTCAAGTGGTGCCGGTATTGCCTAATTTTTCCATGCTTGCCTATTGCTATCTACTTATCCTTGAGTTTCCCCTTTTTTCTTCCCTCCTTTTGTTGTATACTTGACAATTTCTTGCCTTCTGTAGTCATGGCTCTCTTCTTTTATGCTAGACCAACTTCCTTGGTGATGGAGACTGTGTGCTGATATTTATTGCATTTTCTTCTTCAATGAGATTGGATCCTTCTCCTAGTTTATCATAACATACTCTTAATTGCGGATTGATTGAACTTGCAGGTTCAATCAGTAGGAATCCAAATGCTCTGTCAAGTTCTTATGCTTCTAATAGTGGGTCATCAAATCTAAATAAACTTCGGATCAGCAGTTATGGGGATGACTCAAGAACTTCAAACCAGATTGTAGTCTGTCCAGATTATAATTGCAATGGCAGTGCAGGTCACATGAGATCTGCAAACTCTAGGATTGCTAATGTTTCTGGTGCAGAGTACGAGAAGCTTTCATCACAACAAGCTTTGAGGCGAACCCTTCCCACGTCACTAGATGGATCTGGGCCAAGTAGCAAAATGAACAGGTTAACTGATGGTGCCGGTAGCAGCCAGGCCTATGGTCCCCATCGAAATATGTACAATCCCTCAGGATCAGGTTTTGGCAACAACCTGGATTACACACGGGACCGTTACAGCCAGGCTAATGATGAAGATGTTATAATGTATGAAAAGAATGGAACTAGGGCCTTACCTCAGTCATGGATGCATGGGAAGTCCCATATGCCTGCACCCTCTGCTAGTCCAAACGAGCATGCATACCATTCTATGGCAGGTGATGAAAGGACTGCTGTATGTGATGAGAGATTAATTTATCAAGCAGCATTGCAGGTATATCTTCAACTTACTTGTGTGATGTCAATTCAAAGAGTACTATTACTATATATCATGTCATTATGTAGTGGTTCCTTGAATACTGTGTGAGAGTGTTCCTTTTCCATTTCGTTGTGACCCACGGTAGGCACTAGAATGTTTGTTACATGATGCACTTTTCCTCTCATGATTAGTTGTGCTTAGAAAAATTAAGATCGTGGAGAAAAGGGAAAGGACTGCACTGGTGGATTGCCTTTCACCAAACTATTAACTATCCTTTGTTCCTTGTCAAATTGCTATCTTGCAAATGATTTGTCCTTTGTGTCTTTTAATTTGTAAAGTTGACAGAGATAGAATAGCATGTTCTTACGTAAATTTGACTCTCATAAAACTCTCAGAGATATAGGTTAATTTCTGGTGCAACAGTGTCTTTCAGATTTACAGTTGATAGAGATTGAAAAGCATGCTGGTGTAATCGTTTGTCAGATTCATTACAAATGCTCAAGGCTAGTTGTTTTTTTTTACCATATCCATCTATGAAAATAAAGAAATGTCTAAGTTCTTTAAAGAATTTTGATTTAATGGGCTTGTTTTTTTTCCCAGGGTCTTAATCAACCAAAATTTGAGGCCAAGTTACCTGAAGGTTTATTGTCTGTGCCTCTTCTGAGACACCAGGTCCTCCCGTTTGACGACAATAAAGTGTGCTTACAGGGTTAGATTGAATTTTTTGCTAACATTGTTTTTAACAGAGAATTGCATTGGCATGGATGCTTCAGAGGGAGACAAGAAGTTTACATTGTTTAGGTGGAATTTTAGCTGATGATCAGGTTATATTCTTGAATGTCTATAGATTTTGACTTGGGCTTTGTCTAGTAGCTTGATTTATTCTGCTTCGACTTATATTCTTCTTCGTTTTCCAGGGTCTCGGCAAAACCATATCAATGATTGCCCTTATACAAATGCAGAAGGCTCTGGAGTTGAAATCTAAGTCCGAAGATCAGAGTAATAAAAAGACTGAAGCATTGAATTTGGATGAAGATGATGATAGCAGCAATCAAGTTTCCGATAAAGGAAAGCAGACTGTTGAAAGTAGCGGTATAGGAAAAACAGAAGAAGTTGGTACTTCTTCAAAGACACTTAATAGACAGAGACCAGCTGCTGGTACGTTGGTTGTCTGCCCAGCTAGTGTTCTCCGCCAGTGGGCGAGGGAGTTGGATGAAAAAGTTGCAAATGAGTCAAAACTGACTGTCTTGATATATCATGGAGGCACTAGAACGAGGGATCCTGCAGTATTGGCAAAGTATGATGTTGTAATGACAACATATGCAATAGTAACGAACGAAGTTCCAAAACAACCTTTGGTTAATGAGGATGAGCTTGATGTTAAAACTGCAGAGAGAAGTGGTGTATCTTCTGAATTTTCGGTTGATAAGAAGAGGAAAAATCAGCTTGGTACTAACAAGAAGAGAAAGAAGAGCAGGAAGGGAGCAGATAGTTCCCCTTTCGATTACGATTGCAGTCCACTTGCCAGGGTGAGTTGGTGTAGGGTGATTTTAGATGAAGCCCAAACAATAAAAAATCATCGAACTCAAGTGGCTAGAGCTTGCTGCAGCCTTCGTGCCAAAAGGAGATGGTGCCTTTCTGGAACACCTATCCAGAATGCGATTGATGATTTGTACAGTTATTTCAGGTTTCTCAGATATGAACCCTACTCAGTTTATAAGTCATTTTACAGTGCCATAAAGCTCCCAATATCAAGAAATTCAATTCAAGGTTACAAGAAACTGCGAGCTGTTTTAGCAGCTGTAATGCTGAGGCGTACCAAAGGTATTTGCTTTGCTCCTCATTTTCATTATTGTTTGAGTAGCTCTTTCTTTGTCAGACTATCCTGTTTATGGCATCCATATTTCCATGGCAAAGTAGAACTAGCTGACTGAGTATTTTACTCTAGGGACAATGATAAATGGGGAGCCTATCATCAAATTGCCTCCAAAATCAATCGGTTTGAATAAGGTGGAGTTCTCACCGGAGGAGCGAGCTTTCTACACCCAGCTAGAATCTGATTCACGTTCTAAGTTCAAGGTTCTTTTCTAATCTTAGTTACTCTCTTTGCAGGACATGGATAGTCCTTTATTCATTTCCCTGTACGCATCTGTTGGCTGATAGCAAGTGTGTTGCCTTAGGGACACCGAAAAATGACTTTGAATTAATACGAGATCAAGTGGCTTTGTGCTTTGTAATATTTTATTTTTCTACTTTGAAATGTTGTTTCTTAATTGCTGTCCGGTTTCGTTACTCTACTTGGTTTTCCAAGTGGTGCTGGTGGGTCATTTACCTGAAAGGGGGAGTTCATTGTTTCGAAATTTCCTTTTTATGTTTTGCTATTATTTCTTGTACCGTCAATCTCATAGCTGTGAATTTTAATTGTCCCAGCCTCCCAGGTGTTGAAAGTAGTTTGCCCTGTCTATGCTACGTTTACTTTTTCATTCATTCTTTGCGATCCCTTGTTTTCTACAGTTATCATGTTTTTGTTTTTCGGCCTATATTACAAAGAAAGGATTTTCCATCTAATGCACAATTCTGCACGAGTTATGAGGCCAGTTTTCCACATCTTGTTATCACTTGATTGGCGGTTAACACTGAGGAAACTTATTATTTAACTGCATTGATTCCCTTAGGGGATTCCAGATATAACCTTTCTGAATCTTCAAATATATTTCTAATATTTTGCCGAGTGATTTTGTGACTTTCATCTTTCTGTGCAGGCTTATGCTGCTGCTGGCACTGTTAGTCAAAACTATGCAAATATTCTTTTGATGCTTTTACGCCTTCGACAGGCTTGTGACCACCCGCTTCTTGTCAAAGGTTTCAATTCTGACTCTGTACAGAAAGTTTCAGTAGATATGGCAAAGGGACTTCCAATGGAAATGGTGCTTGATCTATTGGACCGGGTGGCTTCTAAAATAGCCATTTGCCGTGTCTGCAGTGTGAGTGTTATCCGAGCTTCTCTCAGTTTGGTGTTTAAATTCTTTGTTGTGTGATGTAATTCCTTTTCATGAATCTTGATTGTTCCATCCTTTTTATTCTGTACATGTTCTTCTTCATATTTGGCTGCTCACTTCTGAGCTAGATTCTGCACACTTCTGCGTCCTAGACTGGATTTTTCTATATGTTTCTGACATCTTCAATGCTCATTTTCTGTATGCTGACACTACGTTGGGAATTGTTGTGCCTTTAATTGATATATACATTTATACTTTGTACAGGATCCACCTGAAGATCCTGTTGTTACAAGGTGTGGTCATGTTTTCTGCTATGAGTGTGTATCAAATTACCTGACCGGGGATGATAACACCTGTCCTGGTCTTAACTGCAAAGAGCAGCTTAGTTCTGATGTTGTCTTCTCGGAAGCTACTCTTAGAAGTTGCAAATCTGATAATAATGATGCTGGTTCTTCTCGTTCGAAGCTCAATCATCAGATCACAGAGAATGAGTATAGCTCTTCAAAAATCAAAGACGTCCTTCGCATTCTTCGGTCACATACTGGAATGGATGAACCAGATGATGTGGATTGCTCAGTTGTGAGCTCGGTTCCCAAGGGACCTATAAAGACGATAATTTTTTCACAATGGACAGGCATGTTGGACTTGGTCGAGATGTCACTCAATCAGACCCGCTTAAAGTATAGGAGGCTTGATGGGACAATGAGTTTAAATGTGAGAGACCGGGCTGTTAAAGATTTCAATACTGATCCTGAGGTTAGTTTACCAACTTTAGGCTTGAAGAAGAAAATCCTGCTTGAGATGATGATCTATCTGTTTGTATAAATCCAACTTTCGCCAATTGAGTCTGAAATTTGCTGTATTCAGGTAACAGTGATGCTAATGTCGCTTAAGGCCGGGAATCTTGGTTTAAATATGGTTGCTGCATCTCACGTTATCCTTCTGGACCTTTGGTGGAATCCGAGCACGGAAGATCAGGCAATTGACAGAGCTCATAGAATTGGTCAGACTCGACCGGTTACTGTGACCCGGCTTACCATTGAAGACACAGTGGAGGATAGGATACTGAAATTGCAGGTGCTAATTTATTCCAATTAGCATCTGATGTCAAGTTGCTGTCTTTCCCCTTGTTATTCTAGCTTAAGTAGCAGTTTAGTGTAAAATGGTTTATATGAGCATGATTTCGTCTCTTATTTTGTTTGGCCAATGATCTGCAGGATGAGAAGCGGAAAATGGTTTCATCCGCTTTTGGGGAGGACCAAGGTGGGGGAACAGCTACAAAACTTACTGTGGAAGATCTGAGGTTTCTATTTATGGACCGGGATGCTGTCCGCTGACAAGCCTGGGTTATTTGAGCTGCTACTTAACGAAGATGCGTTGGTCGAGTCAGTGTTAAGAAACATTTTATGGCATTGCACAGTTGGAAAGGCAATTTTTGGTCTCATCAAAGTGCAGACTGGGAAGCAGAGCCCGCTTGCACATTGTACATATTGCTAATTGTGGGGGCCTAGTGTACATCGAGAATGGTAGATGTAGTTTTATAGGATAGCGTGGTAAATGATGATGATATGGTAGAAATTTGTTAGTTCAAAGGCGATGCTTGAGCGACAAGATACCTGGTTCCAAATTTGATTTGGGTTTCACTGTAGAACGTATGTCGCAGCATGAGGCAGGGGCCGAATGCAAGTTAGCTTTGGTGATTAAGGGTTTGTTCTCTGCACTGTGGTTGCATGGACATAGGCTGGCTGTATTGTTTGTGGGCTCCCATCGACTAGAGTGGTGAAAGGAAACTAGTACTGACAGACAGCATTGCATAACAATCACTCCTAGCAGGCATTGGGATTAAGACATCTTAACGTGATTAACGATCGTTTAATTGCATGTTCTGTGGTCCATTGATCATTGGCGCGATCAGACTGTATCGTGATCCAATGATCAGGGTGCAAAACTAGTTTTACAACATTATGGGAGGGGATCATTTTATAAGAAGGAAGTTGTGGCCTCGTGGGTGACCCCTCTACCAAGCTATCTCATACTAACTTCAGAAACGGGCTCGATGAGGAGTGCGTATCCTGTGACTAAGGGGGTCTTTAGTCAAGTGACTAAGCCCCTCCTAGTCCTTGGGTCTAGATATCCTAATCTAATGGTTGGAAAGTGGGAAGGGATGTTTAATTAATGAAAAAGGTAGTTGTGGTATCATAAAAAATTGGTTTTTTTTTCCTGCTCACGTGCCACAGCCCACGACTGCCGCATTCTCCATTTTTTTAATACAATTCAGCTGGCTTTTTTTATTGGAGCTGGGTTTTTCTTTGTTAATCACTAATAAGTGATTTTTAAACCTCCCACAGTCCCACTCACGTGTGTTTAGGGTTGGAAAACGGTGCGGTCTGGTCCAGATCATACCATATATACGGTCTATGGTCCAGACCGAGAGACTGAAGTATAGATCACAGACCAGACCACAAACTATACAGTCCGGTCCAGACCACGCCTGTGCGGTCTGGTTCGGTCTGGTTTGGTCCAGATAGTCCACACTCAACGAAAAATGAATAATTTGTTTAGTCAATCACACAAAAAATTGAACCAATAACCAAGAAAAATAATTGTTATTTGCCTTAACACATTAATCCTAACATGCATGAATAATTTTGATACCCTAAATCTTAGTATATAACAAATATACAAAGTAAAAGCATCCCAACTTGCACCATAACGTCATAAACATTAACATAATGTCATATGGAGACACAATTATCTCTACTCACTGGTTAAATGTGTTGTGAATGAAGGAGGGACAAGATTCACAAAACTAAGGTTGAGACGTGGATGTCGTTGTGGGAGTTGGGAGAGTGGTCGAATGGGCTGTTAACACGTATTGACAAGTCAGTTGTGTCCACGGTTTGGTCCGGTAAACCATGGTCTAGACCAGACCAAGAAATCAATACATAAAATAATACAGACCATACTTAACGGTCTACGGTCCGGACCAAACTATGCGGTACGGTGTGGACCACAGTTTTTCTAACGGTCTGGTCTATATTCCCAGCCCTATGTGTTTTCTTGGTTTCTTCTTTTTTATAAGCTTTTTTTCTATTTTAAAAATAAAAATCACCTAATTAAAAAATATACGAAGCAATATTAAAAAGTATTAGAACCACATGGTATCAGTATACAAATCAAGATAACATTATATACAAAGATTACTAAAAACAGAAAATATCACTACCAATTATTACAAAGTATACAAACCACAACATAAAAGTATACAAATTAATATTACAAAGTAAACAAATCAGTGATCACATCATAAAAGTATACAAATAATACTAACATTTTATACAAAGCATACTAACCGTACAAAATACAACTACTTACAATACAAACCAATTATACAAAACATACAAATCAGAAGTATACGAATGTTACAAACATGACTAACAAAAATGACAAACATGGTGAACAAACATTCCAAAAGAAACCAACAAACATTAAAAACATAACAAAGCTTACAAACGTTACAAAATAAACCGACAAACAGTACAACCATACTAACAATACAAAACACCACTACTTATAATACAAATCGATAAACTGGAATTACAAACCAATAAATACAAACTATACAAACAAACATTACAAATTACAATATATACAAATTAGTCATATACACATTACAAACATGATAGAGAAAAATGACAAACAATATAAATCGAAAATGATATAAACTTTAAAAATCGAACTTATAAACATTACAAAGCAGGTTGACAAATATCACAAATCTAACACTGTCGTCGAAAAATTCTCATCCACCTCAGGTCGCCGAAAAAACGTCGCTGGAAAAACATAACCTCTCTCTCTCTCTCTCTCTCTCCCGGAGGAATATGCGATGCCAGCCAAACATCCTGGCCGGCGCCCGGCGGAGGAGCGTGGGAGGAATTGGTGACCGGCTCGGCGGAGGAACACGGGAGGGAGGCATGATTGTTTTTAAATTGTAAATTGTTAAATAAATAAAATATGAAATTACCACTTTATCCTTCATTAAAATAGATTATTTAGAGCCATTAAATTTAAATGAGGTTGGATGGCTGAGATGCACTCAGTCATATGACTAAAGTGACCCCCTTAGTCACCTGATCTTAGCCCCTCGACGACGTAGCTTATTTTCCAAGCGAACTAACCTACCTATGTACTATAGTGCACCTTATTTAGTATTAGTGCACAACTCATTGTCTCATTCATCCATTTCCAAAGTTTGCCGCGATTCCTTCAATACTAGTGTGACACTAGGCTATATATGTAGAAAAGGAAATCAACTACGTTTGTGATAGGGATAAATTCTACATTTGGTCACCGAGATTACTAAATCGTGTTATGTTTAGCAACTAGAAAAAAATAATATAAATTTTGGTCACCTGAATTACTAAAACAGGTCACATTTAGTCATTTTCCCGTTAGCCTCCGTCCAACTCCGGTCACTTGAATTACTTTTTTTTATTTATGAATGTCACTCGAATTACTGAAACATGCCACATTTAGTCACTCTCGGTTAGCCTCCATCCAACTCCGTTAACCGAGAGTGACTAAATGTGGCATGTTTCAGTAATTCGAGTGACCAAAATTGATATTAATTTTTTCTAGTGACTAAACATGACATGATTTAGTAATCTCGGTGACCAAATGTGGCATTTACCATTTCTGATTGCTAGGTTATTGAGTATTGACTATTGAGTATTACCCACCATGGGTAATCATACCCAAACCCAAGTAGACCCATTGATAATGAGTAGAGTATGGATGAGGTATATATGAGTTTGGGGTTTGTAGATGGGTTTGTGTTGGGATATGGATATTGCTTTCATAATCTAAATGAGTATGAGTTGGATATGGATATCCATTTACTTGAGGATGTTTTAACTACAAATATAAAAAATTGACATATTTTTAAAAACTTGAAACGTTTCGGTACCAAAATGTAAGATAAAAAAATTAAGGTACTAAAATATGATTTTCCATCGATATTTTGAGTACTTATATGTAAAAAATTAAATTTACGTACTAAATATGCAAATATATTAAGTTTAGGTACCAAATTGTAATTTGTATTTGAGCATTAATATAAGCCCAAATCCATGTGTTAAAAACCGAACTCAACCCAAGTAAATGGGTATGGGTACAAACCCATCAAACTCTATCCATCTACCATCTATTTGGATTTCATACCCCCACCCAATTGGGTTGGATAGTAAAATAACCATGGGTATGGGTAAAATTGTCATCCCTATTTAACATATCCCCCTATCTTAAGTACCATTTTATTTAGGATGGGCATTGATACATACAGTCAGATTGGATCGTAAGTGTTTACACCTAAAAATTAATCATGTACCAAATTGATTATTTACAAGACATTTATTATCTTTGTAAGGCTAGATCATTAATGACAATTAATTTTATTTGAACTGGGCCTCATGATAATAGTTTAAAGGCCCAAACTACTAAGTCTCCAAGAAGGAGCTAGTCTCGTCGCGAGTTGTAGAGCCCGACGTGGTCGTGAGATCTACACCGCGTTGGCATCAAAATCAGAGCCCGACGTGGTCGCAAGATCTAGACCGTGTTGGCATAAAAATTAGAGCCCGACGTGGTCGTGAGATCTATACCGCGTTGGCATCAAAATTAGAGCCCGACGTGGTTGCGAGATCTAGACCGCGTTGGAATCAAATTTAGAGCCCGACTTGGTCGCGAGGTCTAGACCGCGTTGGCATCAAATTTAGAGCCCGATGTGGTCGCGAGATCTAGACCGCGTTGGTATCAAATTTAGAGCTCGATGTGGTCGTGAGATCTAGACCTCGTTGGCGTCAAATCTAAAGCCCTTAAGGTCGTGAGATCTAGACCACATCGTGAGACTAGACCATGTCCAAGATTCCGAACTAACAAGTTGGAAGCAAGAAGGCATGCCATGTGGGAGAGGCAAGTAACAAGACGAAAGTTCCAAGATGAGGAGCAGATGGTTAACAGAGCAACTGCTGATCATCCCACTTACAATGACATGTCAGCCACGTCCGAGAAAGAAGGGGAGCAGTTCTTTTTGGAAGTTACTCCAAGACAGTTTTATATGACGGTTATCATCTCAAGCCTATAAATAGGAGGAGGAGTTGACGGAGGAGGGGTTCGCAAAAATCACCACTCGACACCACTTGTCAAGTTTTATCAATTTTATCTTTCCTCTGCAATTTTTATTAGTAGTCGTAGATCTGGAGCTCTCACAGAACCTCCATAGGAGTAGGGTAACTTAATGTAGAGATCTATCTCGAGAGTCGTGTAAACATCGAACACCCTC